TGGAATTTTTAATTTAAACAAAGACGAAAGGAAGTACACCGACCCTAAAAATGTTACCTAATAAACCTTATTATCTCTCGAAATCATAGCATACCCTGGGGCGGCAAAGTGCTTAACTGCTTGCAAGTAATAAATCAAGTTTTGTTTTTATAAATCTTTATTTTTAAATAATAATAATAATAATTTTAAATCCCCATTTCTTTTCGTGTGAAACGGAAGTCTGCTTATAAAGGAGGAGGAAGTGCGTAAGAAGACGTGTTTGGGTGCCGCAATTTCTGTCTCTCAGTCTTTTTACTCTCTGTCACCCATTCTTAGCATTTTTTCCGCAGGAAAGAAAACAAAAAGAAACCAGGAAGAACGCTCCATATTTCGAGAGCCTGCAAAAATATGCAATTGTTTGTGCCAAACAATTTGCCAAATAGAACAAAAACATACAAAAAACAAGAAAAAATAGAAGAAAAGAATAAAGCTTGTTGCAGTCAGCAAAAAAAGGTGTAACTGCTTGACTTCTTTATAAAAATTCAACGCTAAAAATAGGCTGAAAAAATGTTGGGTTTTTTGTAGGAAAAGGTCTTCGTTTTCGTGGAAAATTTCTACAAGTAACTTAGAAATAAAGAAAAGCCATAGAAAATATATTTTGGATTGCCAGACTATCACTAAAGTCACATACATATGGCAGTTGGAAATGCCCCCTACTGTCTGTAACATATATTTCATGTATTAATCTAAAGACTATTAAAAGTTCTATATTAAATTCAAGTTTTTTCCGAGTGCGGTAGTTAGAAAAAAGGAGCGACTGAAAAAGAGAAGCCGTGCTAGAGAGACCGGTTTGGCAAAAGATGGTGGAGAGTTTTTCAAAGTTCACCCACCACGAGACACAAACACAAACACACACACACACCTACACCTACCCATCTACATGCATACATACATACATCATCTACCTACAACACCCACCTTCTCCCATTTCGCTCAACAACCCTCCTCAAATTTTACTAGAGCATAGAGAAAACGCATGGAATGACAGACAATAACAGCCAAAGCTAAAATAATAACAAGAAAACAATACAGGACACTACCGATACAGTGAACTAATAAAAAAGTAGAAAATATCGATATGTACTGTACGTAAATTAACGCAATGATCGATATTTAATCAAATGAACGATAAATAGATATTCTGTGTCAATGAAGAGCTAAAGCTTTTAAGTATCATTGTTAACTAATACTAAATGTGCTCATAAAAAGGTTTTAAATATTTGCGTTAAATATAAAATAAAATTTTGGGAATTTACTTTATTCATACATTAAATATAGTTTTTTTTAAAGTGTAGGTTAGGTAAGAGGAACCCTAAATAACAGTCTAAGTAACAACTAGTGACAAACGTAATTTGGGGTTTTCACTAGCGGTTTTATTAATCGATTGAATACTGTAGATACAATTCCTAAACGTTTTCCGGTTAGTGTTATGTCTCCGATAAATATCAACTGAAGTTTTTCAAGTGAGTGTCCTGCTAACAGGAAGTGTTCCCTTGTGGCGAGTTAGCACTGTATTTAACCTAAGAGCAACACAACAGCAGTCAAGTCGCCGATTTTCATTCAAACAAAATCCGCTAAAACTCGCCGATGGTCGTCGTCGCCATAAGGGGCAGGTGGCGGTGTTCTGGGGTGACAGTGTGTTTGTGATGGGAGTGGGTGGCGGGTGGCAAATGGCGAACGGCGAGTGGGTGGGTGGGTAAGGTGGCACAAGTAACGCTTACGCTTATGGCGACAGCCTGGCAGCTTTGACATTTGCATGTGTATTATGCGTGACTCTCTGTGTGTGTGTGTGTTGTGCAAATGTATGTATGTAAGAGGAGTTTTTGCTAATACACACATAAACACACACACACACCGTACATATACATTTATACACATCGGCATGCCAGCATCCTCGATGGGAAAATCCTTCAAAGTTCCCAAACAGAACGGAACCAGAGAGCATCGCCATCGCCATCGCCAAGTTTGCGCTTCTTACTTTTTTTTTCTCTTTGTCAGCGGAATTGAGAGACGGCCAACATGGACATATGAAAGGAGGCAGGAGGCAGGAGGGCAGGGCACACATAGCTGGAAAGAAGGACATAAGAATAGGAGGACACATACACAAGACCCTTGACATTTTCTAATCATGATTTGGGCGCTGAGATTGCATTTCAATAATGCTTTGAAATCACAACAAACAATAAAGAAAATAAACAAAAGACTAGAAATTAGATTTTAACAAAATATAAACTATATAAAACCACAAATTTTGAAAATGAAAAATCTGTGAGGGAATTCCAAACAGCTGTCTTGTCTTCTCCCAAAAAATAGATCCTAATGAAAGACCCGAAATATGTAAATGAAATCTAACCTCTCACACAATTTTCGTATTACCTGAAAATTTCTGAAACTCTGAAACTACAGATAAAGGTCAAACAATTAATTAAAAAATATATATATCAAGTGCCTTGGAAAATTATAAAACAAATTGGACACTTGACACTACGCTAAACGGGTTTCGTGGAGCAGCGCCTGTGGATTTATTGTCCGCTTTTTGGTCGCCAAAGTCCTGGTTAAACTTCGGTAAAATGAGACGGAGACTCAGAAAGAACACACGTTGCCCTCGCCACAGGCATCTCCATTCCTCCCGCACATTCCTTCTCCTGGATGTCCTGAACGCCGGAATCCTCCTCCGCCGTAGCTCAGAGGGCTGCTGCTGTGTGTCGTCCCCAAAAATAACTAACCCCCGAAGTGCTCTCGGTCCACGGAAGTTTTATGTGGATAGCAAAAAGGGGGGAAAACAAAAAATTGAATGCCTGGACACGGACACAGAGACTACGGAAAAATCAACGACTACGGCGGCGGCGGCGGCGGCGGCGGCTCTGTTGTGTGTCTGGCCGCCTGCGCCCTCACATTCTTATGCCCAATTTTCCATTTTCCCCGGGAAGCCGGCCACCCACCTTTTGCGTACACAGTGGAAAATGCATACAGCCATACATACATATAAACCGCATAATATTACACTGAGAGTCACGTACGATTTATTTGCCAATGGTTAACGATTGTGTGCAATGGAATTAGCCACGTTAAGCCCGGACGACCAAACCATTGACAGATATTGGAGAAAAAATTCAGACAGACAGAACAACCCCTGAGATCAAAAATTACAAGGTAATAAATAGACAATTTCTGTGAAAAATTGTTGTTCTTATGCATATATACTTAGTTTTTGGTACTAAAGTAGATGTTTAAAATTTTAGGATTTTTGTATAAATCTGTATTTCCAAAAAACGTAAAATTTTTATAAAAATCATAAACAAAATCGTTGCAAGGCGCACACTTAAAATCCCCAAGTCCGAATTCTACGATATTCTCTGCATAAACAACCTGCTGCAGTTGTAATATATACGATATGATACAGTAGAAACTCGATTATATTTTATATATTATTATACTTTAAAGTAACTAACGCTGATTTTTAATTTATATTTTTATTTTTTAAACCAAGCAAATCCTTATAAAGTAACTTAAAGATACTAGATCATTTTCATGGCATGACTTTTTGCAAATTTTTTGTTCTGTGCTGTTTTTAGGCATTGCTTTTGGCAGAAACAGAAACAGCATGCGGCATCACAGAAATTTCGGTCTATTTTTATCACTTTTTGTGCGTTTTTTTTCGTTTTTTTTTTTTTTTCTAATTTACCACCCCCTTGCCTTTCTTTCATTTGTTTTTTTTTTTTTTTTCGTATTTTTATGCCGTCTCATTCTGTTAAACGTTAATTTTCATTTAAATTTGAAAAAATCATTCACACTTGTAATCATTCGAAGCGTTTAAGTTGGGGATGACTTTTTATGGCCGGAGGAGAAATCGTTAACGTTAGAAAATGTGACAATGCGGGGGTTGGTTATCGTCAAGTTTTAAAGCTTTCAAGATGCTGGGAACTTTTAGTTTCGGAGATGACATTTAACCAATATTTGATTTACTAACTGAATGAAAAACACGAAAAGTATAACATAAAAAAGTTGTTAATATATTTAAAATGAGAACAGAGATATTCATATAAAAGATATACATTTTTAAGGATTTTAAAATTAAATATATAATTAAATAGTAAGCAAATGTATTACTCATTTGAGATAAGGATTTCTGGTTCAAATGAAATAAATTAAAATGGAATTACAAAAAATATATATTTATATTATATGATTTATTCACTTTGTGATTATTTATGTATATGATTTACACTTTAACATCAACACTTTGAACTAAATGAAATGACGTTGGTTTATTTTATAGAATTTTATCAAGCTGCCGTGATTTATTCACCACCCTCTCTGTCTCTCTCTAAATGTTATCAAACATCCACCAGGCCCAGCAATTAATTCGCTTAATCGCCGGCTTTGGCTTTCTATCGAGTAAATGGATTAAAAGCGAATTATTTCCTGAGATAAGGCTGCCAATCTTCGAACTACATTTCAGTTTTCAAGTTTCGTTTCTACGTGCTTATTATGCTGTGTCTACATTTTGGCAAAACTGCTAGGCAAACGGTTAAATCAGGAATGTTTGGAGCCGTAAATATAAAAATGGCCAAGATAAACGTGCACACAGAGAGAAAATATCACATAAATCTATCATTGCTTAGCATTTTTTTCATTTAGTAAATATGTACCTAGGGCCAGAGGTCAAACATTCGGGTTGATATAGAAATTAACATAGTAAAAAATGTTTGTACATTGCAGACAAAGCGTGGAAGAACGAGTGAAACTATAACTAAGCCAAGAATGTATTAATTTCAATTCGGAAAGGTTTTCTCTTTAGTTTTTTTCTATTTACTTTAATTTTTAACAAGTGATGGGGTTTAATATATAAATTGTCTGAGTTTTTTACAAACAAATTGTAAAAATATGGGTAAATTTAGCAACAACAACAACAAATTCTAATAGATTTTACTCTAGTTTATATAATATAAATTTCTTACCGTATTTTTTTGTTGCCAGTGCGATGCTGGCTGCAGTCGGGCGTCGCTGCTGACGCCGCGGACGCTGCTGCGATGGAAAAGTTAGCAACTTTTGACGTTTTCTTCGCTTTGCGTTCCCTCGGTTTTCAGTTTTGGTTTAATTTTTTCTGTGGTTTTTTTGGTTAACGCTTTTCCACAGCGACGTCTTCTTGTTATACTTTATGGTTTTTATTTTGCGCTGCTTCGCTTTGGTTGCACTTTAAAACAAATTTTTTAACGTAAAAAAAAGTTTGAGAAAAAAGTTTCACGCATGGCTTCATTAGCATGATTTTTGTTGCTTTTCTCTTTCACACTTTCTCAAATGAGATGGCGATAGAGAAAACACAGAGAGAGAGAGTGAGAGCTAGGGGGAGGAATAGGGGGGGAAACACTGCCAAGTAAGCTAATATTGAAAGAATTTATTAAATTCAATTTGACCTTTATCGCTATTTAAAGTCTAAAATAACCCGAAGCTTCTCTCTTTCATTATTACATCGGTGATTCCGTGGCAAAATAGATTATGTTTAGATAGATGTTTCCTAGTGAAAAGTAGAATTTCGTATTGAAAAGACCTATACTTTATGAAAGGAAAACGAACTAAATCTAAGTTAAAGCTTTGTATTTGGTCTATCTTTTAATGTTAAAATATCAAATCTTAACAATTAAACAATATTTTAAAATGTATTTGCTTTAGTTAAACATATATCAAGAATCTCTTGAACTTTATGAAAAACCTAATCTATTTCTGTTGAGTTTTAATCTCTTAAAAGTCAACCAAGATAGACATGTATCTTTAAAATGTATCTTCTTCCCTAAGTAATTTAATTAATTTAGTAAAGACATTCTATAATTCAATCTATTTCATTCTAAATATTTCTGAAATCAAGAGAATTGAGTGATAGTTTGTTGAGTGATGTTTGTATCTATAACTAGATCTTATACTTTTCTGCATGAAATAAATCTAAATTTATAACAATATCAATATCAATATTCCTACTAAAATAATCTTTTACTTATTTTCGGAATCCTTCTGTAGAAAGGATGCGCTCCGTAATTAGCTCGCCGGAAGCCGTGTGCGTGGGATGCCTTTCACGGGATTGGGTTTATCTCGTTTACATCATCGGCACCGAGTACCGAGTTACGGAATTCGGGCAACGAGAGCGACCGTGTACCGTTATGCGCTTGCCGTGAAGGCTGCTGCTGCTGCTGCATTTAATGAGCACGAACTTTCACCCCGCCGCAGCGCAACTGAAACCGAAACTGAAGCTCGCATCTTGGGATATACAAATGCGCTTGTATATGTATAAGAGGGACGGCCTTGTCGGTTAATTACCGGCGACCGGTAATGCGGTCGCTCCGCAGTCCGCGACAGCGTCGCTGCCTTAATCCGTTACCGTTAGGTTTGGATTAAGTCCGGTGATGCTGGCGTGTTTCAGGTGTTTCGCTGCGCGCGGATCGATAAATGGAAAATAAATAGTGCCCACCCCCCTTTTACTTCTCCTTTCTCCTTTCTCTGCTCTCTTTTGCTTTACTTTTATTTACCATTTAGATTTTCTGCAGTTCTTCCACCTTACGTTATTTTTGGGGTATTTTCAGCGGCACTCACACACACACGAACACAGACACTAACGCACGCACATATACACTTATATTTGTATGTATTGGAAGCAAGGCATTACAAGACGACCATCAGCATCCAAGGAAATTCCAATTGGCACTCGCTCCCTCTGCCGGCGTCGCAGTCGCCATCGCTGCTGTTTTTGCCATTACTTCTTGTTCTCTCCTGTTTTCTTTTGCTCTTTTTTGAGTTTACACACGTTTGTTTACGTTCTTCGGAGCAGAGTTTTAAGTTGATTAATTGCAACTCCTCCTGCCACAAAACTGGCGGCCAGTTGCTTGACAAGTTGGGCTTGAATTTGCGCTTAAATTTGTTGTGTGTTTCATTCACACAGCGACCCGTGTCTTATTTGTTTTCGACCGAGACGCGCGCACGCATCGGTGTCATTTGGTGGAAAAGAAAGCGGCGTCGACCGCGGCCACCCTATTTCCAGTTGGGCGAAAGCTCGAAATAAAATGAAAATATCACGAATTCTGGCCGGCAAGCTAACAAAAAGCTAACAGCCGACAGAAAGCCGAGTATGTCGCCGTTTAGCTATTTTCCCACTATATCTGGCGTGTTTCAAAATCGCCATATTTTTGTTTGATATTTTCCCCTTGGTCACTCTGAACTTCAAAGTAAGATGTCAAAACAAAGTTTTACATGCTTGGGGTCGAATTCTCGTGTAGAATGTAGAGTGTTCGAGAGCGAACAACATAGACTTCGGCAGGCTTCGGCAGCACCTTCGGCTCCGTTGCAACGTGTTTGAATGTGCTATCATCAAAATTTGCTGGCTATTTCTAGCTTTTTTCGAAGTTGGGTTTAGCTTTTTCAAGCCCTAAAGAGTTGGCAACACTGCGTATGTTCGCGGCCTGCGCACCAGTGCTGCCAGCATGGCTTATTTATGGCTAGATTCGGAATATATGAAGGAGCTTGTCTGTAATATATATATTTTTAATTAATTTATATAATGGACCAACATTTTCATAGGTTCGTTTATTTTCCTTATCACGACATTTCGTTAATTTTACTTTTCATAAAAGTAGCGAGATTTTAAATTTTAAATTTTTTAAATTTTCAAACATGATTCTGTTAATAAAAAAAAATTATACAGGCCAATACGTATTTAACAATTATTATTTATTAGCAATAGAGAAATATATTAGAGCTAACTATAGTTATATGATGAATGATCCAAGAAATTCCTTATTTCACATTTTCACTGTGAAGCGTACAAAACTATGTATTATACTTATGATATTATGATTCTTAACAGCTAGGACAGACACAGAAGATACAGGTATCACACGGCTAGACATAGGGATTCCAGTTGCTGCCGTCCTCCGGCAGCAGATTGTTGGTAACCAACAGGATGACATCGATGATCCACCAGACGCCCACACCGCCCATAGTGAGCAGTTTGCCAACGGCAGTGCCTGTCTGGCCCAGGCAGAAGCGGTCCATGCCCAGGAAGCCCAGGAGCATGCTGTAGATGAGTGTGGTGACAAAGTAGTGGTCCGTGTAGCGAACACAGGGCACGCCCTCGCGGAAGAAGGTGCGATTGCCATAGCAGTCTATGTCCGCGTACACGGTGCACTGCACCTTCGTGTGCTCCACATCCTCGTAGGTGGATCCGCCGAATTTCAGGCAGCCGTAGCCTTTCTCCCGCTTGGCGGTGGCGTTCTCCCGATGATCGATCGGCTCCTTGCACTCGAGGAAGTCGCGTGGCAGAAAGGAGCACAACACATTGGGTCCCAGCGGATGGAAGGCCGAGTTGGAGGAGCCAGCGGCGGCGGAGGAACCAGAACCCGACCCAGACACGGATCCCGTTGCCTGCACTGGCACCACCGACTGCACCGCCGTGCCCGAGACCACCGTCTGTGGCTGCTCCTTATCACTCCTCGCCTGGATGGCCTCAGCGGTCGGGAGGATGACGGCGATGATAGTAACCAACAATGACGCAGATAACGCGTAAAAAACCAACCTTCGCCGCATCTCGGCTATATTATTACTTGCATTCTTGCCGATCAGCTGTGCAGTGGTCGAGTGATGCCACATCGCTGGACTCTATTGGTATCGGAATCGCAGCTTCGATTACGGCTTTTAAGATGCTGTGACCCATTCACTACGCTGCATTTTTTCGGGTATCTCACGAAATGCAAAATAAAAGCATCTAGGCAAAAACAGCCTTTCCACAGAATTGTTAAATGCGCAAAACAGAACCTTAATCGTTAATCGATATTGCCGTTATCGAAATGCCGCCAGCCGGGGTTGGCCACCACTATAATTTTCCATTTTTCAGAAAAAAAACAACGTAGATCTAGTAACGACGTTCTCCGTCATTATATTACGGATCGGAACGGAACGGAGCGACGCGTCATTTTCCCCCATTTTGTTTTTGTTTCGTTCTCGCCACCACCGTGACTGGTCACTTTGCAGGGCTGCCTTTGTCACACGATTTTCCACGGAAGAGGGAGAAACCAAGCCGAAATGAAACTGTTGCTGCTGGTGGCAGTGGCCACCGCCATGGTGGTCCTGGCCCTGGGCGAGGACTCGTCGCCGTCAATGCTGTCGGACGAATTTATTGAGCTGGTGCGCAGCAAGGCCAAGACCTGGACGGTGGGCCGTAACTTCGACAAGTCGGTGAGCGAGGAGCATATCCGCGGCCTGATGGGCGTCCATCCGGATGCGCACAAGTTCGCGCTGCCCGAGAAGCGCGAGGTTCTCGGAGACCTGTACCAGGGTGCCAAGGATATACCCGAGGAGTTTGATGCCCGCAAGGCCTGGCCCAATTGTCCCACCATCGGCGAGATCAGAGATCAGGGCTCCTGCGGCTCCTGCTGGGCCTTCGGCGCCGTTGAGGCCATGTCCGATCGGGTGAGTCTCTCTCTCTTTCTCTGGCTTATCTCTGTTCTTTTGTGTGTTTTGTGCTCTTATCGATTCACACCGATAAGATATATCCTCCTTTGTCCCACCGATTTACGCTTCAATTTTGCAATGTCCCCTCTACATCAAACAGGTGTGCATCCATTCCCAAGGCAAGGTGAATTTCCATTTCTCGGCCGATGATTTGGTATCCTGCTGCCACACCTGCGGCTTCGGTTGCAACGGTGGCTTCCCGGGAGCCGCCTGGAGCTATTGGACGCGCAAGGGAATTGTCAGCGGAGGACCCTACGGCTCCAATCAGGTAATAACTAAACCCAATACAAAAAAAAAAAAACCCTTGAAGGCAACTTGTGACCAAAGAAGCAATTTGTCAGAGCTTGATAATACTTGCGAGAATTATAGAATTATAAAGAAATTTGTTTAATCGTTTTGTGACCACAATTCCTATCTATACTTACTCATTCCTCTTACTTGCAGGGCTGCCGTCCCTACGAGATTTCACCCTGTGAGCACCATGTAAATGGTACCCGACCTCCCTGCTCCGGCGGCGGTGGCACTCCCAAGTGCCAGCATTTGTGCCAGAGCAGCTACAATGTGGAGTACTCCAAGGACAAGCATTTTGGCTCCAAGTCCTATTCGGTGCGTCGCAATGTCCGCGAAATTCAGGAGGAGATAATGACCAATGGCCCGGTGGAGGGAGCATTTACAGTGTACGAGGATCTCATTTTGTACAAGGACGGCGTCTATCAGCATGAGCATGGCAAGGAGCTGGGCGGTCATGCCATCCGTATACTCGGCTGGGGTGTTTGGGGTGAGGAGAAGGTGCCCTATTGGCTAATTGGAAACTCCTGGAACACCGATTGGGGCGATAATGGCTTCTTCCGTATTCTGCGTGGCCAGGATCACTGCGGCATCGAGAACTCCATTTCAGCGGGTCTACCCAAGCTGTAGATAAACAAAAAGTATCAGCTTTCCTGCTAATATGAAGTCTTTTCTTTTTTATTTTTATTTCCATTCCAAAGTTCTCAAGACAAAATGACGAGTCTATGTATGTAGTTAATATTCTATGTCAACAATGTAAACCTGATTGATAATAAAGTATTGTATATGTCTCTATGGATAACTTTTACGAGTTTTCGAATACTTTTTATATGAAAATGTTTCGTGGAAAAAAAAGGTACATACAAAGCAAGTGTAATTACGCTTCAGTAGTTGTTTTCCTGTTATATTCTAGTTCATTAAATCATATTTAATTCTAGTTAATTTGCTAAAAAAAACAAACAAAATAATGAAATGGATTATTAAATGCTAGATTCCAGATAATTCTGTTGCTCAGCCTTCTATATACTCAACAGCTTAGCTATCAATCGTTTCAGAGCTTTGTATTTTTGCATAGATGTTTGTTTTGCGAGTTTAAAATGTGATTAGCGTCTCAATTGATTAAACAAACAATGGGTACAGTTCGCTCGAGTTCGTCGTATGTACATAAATACATACATATATAATATATAAAATAATAATAATATATAATATAGAATGATTTATCTGACTAACTCAGTAGGATACATCACACGATTATGTGAAAAGCAGAGCTTTAAACATGTGTTTCATTTATTATTTCAATAATGTGTCTGCTCATCAAAAAGAAAGAGACGGAACTAACAAAACACTGAGAACAAAAAGGGGAATAATTATAAGAAACGCATGTAATATATATATATTCATATATAAAATAGTAAATATATGAATACATATATTATATATTATATTCATATAAATTATATTAAATTTAGAAATACATATATTATTTAAACTTAATTTAACAACAGTTTTCATATAAATTATTTTCTGTAAATAAATCATACAAAATAATGATTTTGCTTGCTTGAAATAATTTTCCGAAAGTTTCTATGAAAGCTATTACTGTTAATATGTTATATAAATTTAATTAAAAAGCTTTTTCCATATAAATTATTTCCATAAATAAATATTTGCTTAGCTCAGCCAAACTCTAAAGTGATGGTTTTGCATTCTGGCTTAAAATAATATTTATATCATTCCTGTGACAGATATGCATATATACATATATATAATATAAATAAATAATATGTACTATTTTTTTTCTTATCTGAAATCCATTACCCATCGACGCCCATTCAAAACACATTCACTTTTTCACATAGCATGTTTTTATTAATTTATTTTTCTCATTTTCAACACATCAAATAGAACATTTTTTATTTTTGTATTTTTTTCCAGATTTTTTTTTCTGTTCATAAACCGCCTTGTCTTTGGATTTATGCACTTTGAAATGATTAACTGTGTAGTATGTAGGCTACGTACATAGTTTATACTCGATCGTTCTTTTCTCTAACAAACAGCGCTTACACATCGAAAAATATTTGCAACTGGCCTTTAATTCAGTTTTTTTTTTTTTTTGTAATTTTCAATTGTTTTTCATGTTATTAGAGGACTTTTTTTCGGGTATGTACATACATGCATATTTCGTAATTATACATCATTATAATGCACATCTCTTCCTTATCTCCAGCTATCCATGGGTTGTCTGCTCTTGCCTTACATTTTTCTATATATATGAATGTGTATGTATATATATATATTTATATTCATTTTGTAAATAGATTGCATTTGGCTTTGCTCCGCATTTTTAGTTGTTTGTTTTTCTGCCTTTGGTGTAGATTTTTGTTGTCAATAAATAATTCCTTGCTCGCCTCGTTCTCTTTTTGTAATTGTTCATTATCTCAATTCGTATTTGTTATTCCTGGACTTTTGCACTTATTAATTAACATTCATACATATGTACATCATCTATTTTCGTATATATGTATGCAAAACCGTTTTATTGTTTTTAAATTATTTGTTTTTTTATTTTTTTTTTTTTTTGTGGTTCTGTTTAGTGTACGGGACTTGCTGTGTGGCTTATCATCTGAATGGTGGGTTTAAAAATATCAAATTTAATTTCCCTCAACGCTTGGATTGGGGGAGCTGTTGTTCTCGCTATTCTTTATCTTTTAGGGGTTTTGGTCGGAGGGCGGAAACAATAGATAGAGTATCTAGCTTTAGCGAATATCTTCGTGAAAAGTTCACGCATCGTTCTGAAACTTTAGAAACATCAACTTTAAACTAACATAAGTCATTGTGTGAAAAGATTCTTTTGACTGTCTAAACTCTTGACAAATAAGGAATATCTCTCAAAAAGAGTTCAAGAGTTTACAAGTTCAAAAAGAAGCCCAAAATTTTAATTAATTTAAAGAAACGTAATATGGGAGATATCATCAATATCAGAAAACATAAAATTCAGTGAACTTTAGTTTTTATTATTTTTTTGTTTTGTTTTCAAAGAAGTATACCTAAATTCAAAAAAATTCTCTAGACTTAACTAAATAAACCAATAAAAGAGATATAGAATAGCTACTTTAGGTAATGGAACACTATTTACTATGACTTTTAACTTTTTCTGTTTTTTTTTTCAAGCCTGAGAACCAACTTGCTACGTTTCGTGTGTACTTATAAATAGGTTAAACTCACTTCACCAAAAGTATGCCTTATGCTCTAGTGGCTATTCCATTGTATTTTTTTGTTTTTACTACATAGTTTCGTTTCGTCGCTACAAAAGAAGCAAGAACTTTCAATTATAAAGACGTGAGTTTAAAGTCGACTCAGCTGGAGAATTGAGGAACGTTCATAGCCGGGCAAGACTTTGATCGGGACTCTGTGTTCCCCAGTAAGCAGCATGCTTTAAAAGTCCTTATTGTTAGAAGTTGGGCTAGATAAATACACTTTATACATATATATAGTGAATATCCCTAAATACAATCACTCTGCTCTGGTTTCTTCAATTCGCAGTACGATTTTTAGTTTAGAAAGTGACTCTCAACCAGTCGAGAGTTTAGCAAATTGTGTAGTAATTATAGGATGCGTAACGCTCCAAACTCCATTGGAATTTTGTTGAAAAAACCCAGAGAGATAAAATGTATGGGCGTTACTCATCTTATTATTACAATCTCTTTAGTTTTAGGTATGCACCACCTTAGGGGATTTTCTTAACCTGCTTTGATCTGAGTTTCCTGGGTTCCCAGCTTAGTATTTTTGGTTTATAAGTTCTCTGGTTTGAGTGAGTGGTTTTAGTTAACTTGTGTGGACAGTACATAACTATGTTATGCTTACATAGTGGTAAATACATATCGAATTACTATACGGGTCATATACAATGCCCCCTTAACTTCATCAGGTCGCCTTAAGTTGTCTGTTTAGGTTTCTATATAACACGAGTAGCCTTCGGTTTGATCTCTTCTCGTCGAACTGAAATTTCGGTTTCGGTTTTGGTATCACAAAATCGGTTTTTATGTTTACACAATATCCATAGTTTCTACATATAATTGTAACATTAACTTTGTGAAAGTAATTTCCTCGAATTTCATTTTCATTCTCAATAACAATATATATGTATGTAAGTAGAAGATATATATATATATATGTGTATATATATAATGATTTACATTTTTTGGTTTACTTTTTAACCTTTTTCTGGGTAGCGAAAGACTCTATCACAATTATGGAGATTTAGGTTTCTGGGGGGGCCAAAGTAGTTAGAGGTTGCAATCATTTTCATGACGGTTTTCTTTTCTTTTCAAAAACATTTTTAGTCAATTTTTACACGCACACATAAGTAAATAGATTTTTGCTTTTGTAGATTTTTAGTTTGATTCACGGAAGCCGTTAATTTTAACAAGTTTTTTTTCAAGAAATGCATTGAATTTGCCTTTTGATTCAGCCGCTTTTCCTTGTCCTACGATTTTAGTTTAGTTTGTTTGGTGTCTTGTTTCGGTTGCTTCATATTCCTTGGGAGATCTTCGGTTGCATTATTAATTATTAGTTTGTCCTTCAATTTTGCTGTTGTTGTTGTTGTTGTACCTTTGAACTTTGTTCGTTTGCATATGTTAAACGCTTTTATATTTTGAATATATATTTTTCTGTCATGTATGTATATATCTTTTACAATTGTTTTTAGTATCTGCTTTTGATGCATTTTTCTTTTTTTTTTTTTTTTTTTCTGCTCTAAGTGGTTTGAAAAACCATCAAGCAACAGGAGGAAACAGTCTTTCTTTCCAGGTACCTAGTATGAAAAAGAAAAAAGAAGCCGTCATACAATAGCATAAGAAAATATTGTAAGTGTTCGATCCTCTTCATCTATCCTTGACCTCTAAGTTCTTTGACCTGGCTATGATAATTTCTTCAAGTTTTGTAAGGCTATCTTCAAGGACCTTTTCATAACAAGATGAGTAACGCCATACTGGTTTTAGACCTGTCTCCAGGCTCTCTTGAAATGTTGTTCAAAAAAGCCAGAGAGAGAGAGAGAGAGAGAAAAGGGAGAGCTCTCTATGTTTGCTTACATGTTATCAGGCATTCTAGATCTGTACGCTTTTATACGCACTTGCTCTTTACCTTTAACTCTCTTAATGTAAAGCAATTAAAATGTATGGGCGTTAGCCATCTTGCTTTTACAAGGTCCTCGCTTTCAGACTGCTATATCTAATCGGATATGCGGTTACATCAGTCCTGAATAGTACAGTTTTAATATATTATCTATATTTTGATGGTGTTAGTTATGGATACTCACCGCGTGACACATTTGACTTTGGTTATATGTTGTACAATTGTTCTTTACTCTTTTGCAATTTTGTTTTCGACATACATACATAATATATGTTGTGTATATATTACATCATTGAATTCGCAATATATGTATATTATTATTTTTTTTGTGATATATGCATATACAAATATGTGGCATATGGAGTCATCGGTGTTGTTGTTGTCCTTACACTCGTTTGCTAGTTGTTCAGATGGGTTGCTGCTCTATTGCATAGGGAATGCAGGATATATTGCGATATACCTAGGGGACACTATCGAAGTGTTGTTGGGGAGTTTTTATCGCTTTTCTGTATCGGATAGAGTGGCTCTCTCTAGTGGTGGCTCAGGTAAGTCTTGCGCTTAAGGTAACCACTGCGTATGGGTGATGATAGTCCCGTCTCGTTGCTGTTGTTATCGTCGATGGCACGTGTGTGTGTGTGCGTGATGTGTGTGTGTGTGTGTGTGTATTTTGTTGTGTTTATTTTTCAAGCAAATTTCATTTTTTTGAAAAAAAAGAGACAGAGTTAAGGTTGAGAGAAAGAAATAGAGAGAGAGTTGAATTTTGGTTCTACTGTAGTCGATTTGTAACAATTTTCCGGTTTTTGCTGCACAACACCAATCAATCAATCAATCAATGTGCCAATCAATAAAATGCTCAGCTAGGTATGCTAAGTACATAACAAAATGGGTAACTTAAGGGAATGTGTTGGTATATTTATATGTAGAAAACACTATTACTAACACCAATGATTTTTGTTTTCGGTTTCTAATTGTTTACAAGGTGCTTCTTTTATTGTTGCAATTTATCACATTGCAATGCCCACTTTGGTAATCGTTTGTTTAACTCGCAATTCAATTCAATTTTCATTCGTTGCTTGTTCATGCAGCCTGATTACAAGTCAGTGCGTGTTCGTGAGGTGTGTTTGGAGATCGTGGGGAGTATGCCAGCATGTGATGGTGGGTTTTCGAGTCATGAAAGCGTTGTTTTTAAGCGATTTTGGTTTTTGTGTTTTGTGTTATTCAAAAAAAAAAAAAAAATACAAGAAACAACAAAGAAAAGATACAAATCGTAATCGAAACATTATAAATCATATACCATAGACTATATATATATGTATATTTCTAGGAAACTATTACTGTGCTGCGGAAATAACATTATCATCATTTTATGTAGCTCTTTTATTTTTTATTGTATTTTGGGTTTTTGTTCGCAATCAAAATAATATCAGTACATACATACATCAAGGCGATAATTATAATAGCAATACATAATAAAATCAATAATAATAATCGTAATAATAATAAGAATAATAATACTAATTATAATAGTAATAATTTATACATGGTATGCATGTATGCAATGCGGCATTTGTTCTAGGCAAAACGTACGGCAAAGTACGATTTGTGGCGGGGACTAGTTCTTAAGTACAAATTTCGGATACTTCTAGGCAGCCGGCGTATCCTTTTCAATCGCATTCTCAATCAGCTGAGCCAGCAGGTTAAGATTGCTGCTGTTGGCGCTGCCGGGACTATGGATGTTGCTGCCACCGCCGGAACTACTGATGTTGGCCAATTGCAACTCGAAAGCATTGCTGCCCCGGGCAAGGATTGGCAAGGAGAAAGTGCATGAGATTAGTTCTGGCAGGAGATACGACTATTAATCCCAAGCACACACAACAACGATTAGTCGGAGATCACACAACAGATACCATATGGACTCTGGACACTTGATGGCCCACAACAAAGGAAATGAGTAGGATGTGTAACGCGTGTCTTGCACAAACTTGAGAGCATAATAATCGTATGACATTACGCATCTTACTCATCTTATACCTTCGCAAGGCATTATGATGTGGTGTCGATGGTAAAAGGCAAAACAAAGACTACTTAAATATATTAACAAAAGAGACATAAACAAAAAGCGTACAAAATGAAAGCGTTATATATAATAATGCCATTAGCTATACATATATAAAAATATAAATTACCTAAAAACTAGTAGTAACTTTTGCATAATATCTGGTCTTTGTAAAAGCTTTCTTAGCTAATATAATACTGCTTATGCTTACTGCTCTAACCCTCAACTTGCAAAATAATGCATAAATAATAGTGATTGGGTATTTAAAGGGTTAATTCGAGAGACATTCCTTGTTCTGTGTCCTTAGCTTTGGTTAAATCTTCTTTGTTGGTTAATTTATGAATTAAATTATAAATAAACTCAAGTTACGTATGCTGCTTACAGTTACATTTTCAACAAGCTAGGGGCATTAAATACACTGCACACAAAACACACAACAGCACATTATACACTAAACATATACATATACATATATATAGGGGGTGCACTCTGTACATGGTGGATCCGCAAGGCATTAGCCTTCAGCCACCCCTCTTACCTTCTGCGTCGCGGATTTGCCGTCTGGCCGGGAAGATTGAAGCAGCCCCGCGGTATGACCATGCGGGCATTGCCCTTGGCGGGTCGTGAACCGCCCACGGCCTGCAGTCCGGAGAGATGGGCGGCATAGCCATCGCTCAAAACGGTGGCATTCGCCTGCAGCTTCTTGCTCACCTACAAGAGGGATTAGACTTTCAGCCCATGGATGACTATGTCTATGGATACCAGGGAACCCTCACCTTGCCCACGATAAAGATTTGATCGGTGCGCATGCCCACATTGGTGTAGACACTGATGTCCTTGCTGCTGCCATAGGCGGCTGTGATTGAGATTCCATGGTTCTGCACCAGATTATTGAGATAGGCCGTCTTGTGGCCGAGGGGATCCGTGGAGAGGCCGTCGGCAAAGGAGATGAGGCCATGGGGAAAGTTGTGCTGGCTTAGCCAGGAGACGACACGCTGCTGCTGCATATCCGGTCGTCCGGTGATGTAGATGAGCAGATAGCCCAGCTCCTGCCAGTGCCGGCAGACATCGACGGCGCCGGCACGCACCTTGGGATCGCGGCCCGTCACCGACATGGAGGCGGTGAAGGAGCCATCGATGCTAAAGACTACGCATTCGGTTAGCGGCGGCACCACGGCCATATAGCAATCAACCGATGTGTGGTCGCCGCGCACGACCATCTTCACCGGATAAATGCCATAGCCGAGGGACACCTGATCCGGGATGCTGTACGAGATGCGGCCATTCTTGTCCGTCACTTCGGTGCTAAGGAATGTCCACTCTCCGGCCGGTGGATCCTTCATAATATGCACATCGACCTTCTCGCCATGCAGGGTGATCATGTCCAAGGGACCGTACATAAACCGGGCATTCAGGCGCTGCTCGCGTCCCTCTTGGACGATCACATCGTTGGCCCGATGATTGGCGGCCACATTTTTCAGCTTGACCGAGGTGCGCTTTTTGATCCACTTCTCCCGCGGCTGGCCGGGATGGAATGAGGCGTTGTCCTTGTCATCGTTGGAACCCACAAAGGGTATGCCCTCGAATTTGCCAATCTGGCGCAGGATGAACGCAATCACATCGGGACTCTCCCAGTAGCTGGCATGGAACAGATGCGGCAGGGCATGGGCCGGGAAGTTGCTCAGGCCCTCCGGACAGTATAGGGCGTAGTCCAGGCGCTTGGTGCCCCACCATTTGTTTTGAACTGCAAGAGGATCAGGTGAGATGGGGTTCACAAGGGGCAGGGAGTAGGTAGCAGGGAGCAGGAAGCAGGAATCAGGTAGCATGGATCAGGTAGCATGGAACAGGGATCAGGGAGCACGAAGCAAATAGCAGGGAGCAGGATGTTTCACTTACGGGCATGGATCGTGCTTAGCGAGACGTTTTCAATCAGACCCGATATCGTGCTCTGCATCGAGGCATCCGAGAGCCGACGACCGGCGGCCAGGAGATTATTGCCATCGTTAAAGTGTTGCGGATGCGACTGAATCACCTCCACTGTAGGATGACAAAGAAGGATCTTAGTTTATCCAGCCCTCAAATCCCAATCCCAACTACTTACATAAATGCAGTGGCTGACCATTTCCCAGCGGATACTTGGCGTAGCGCGGCACATTCACCGGCGACAGTATGGAGAAACGGGCACTAAGCAGCGGCTCCAGCCGGGAGGCAATCGGATCGGTTGGATGGAACAGATTGTACACCTGATGGCAGTTGGGCCTCGCCAACGCCGCCTTGGCATCGTGCAGCTTCCGGGCGGCCAAAACCACCGATAGCGGTGAGCCGAACATGAAGAAATCACTGACCTCAAAGTCCAATTTGGTTCCACGCGAATCGCTTGAGGAGCTGGAACGGCGACGACGTGGCGATGGTGCCACTAGCAATCGCTTGGCATCCAAGTCGGCTTCCACAATGAACCGTTCCTCGTCATCCAAACGGGAGTGGCGAGCGCCTAGCGGATTGTGGGGATTTATGTGGGCGGGATTGCCAGCAGCATCTCCGCCAGAATTGGATGCCCCCGAAGTGGCGGTGCCCGGTGCACTGCCGTTCGAGCGGCACAGGGACTCGTAGGCCAGCAGCGAGCCCATCGAATCGCCCAGCATCACAATCTGTCCAGAGAAGCCGTGCCCCTCCTCCGATTTCAAGAACTCGTGGTAGACTATATTGGCGGCGGCCACCGTCTTGTTCACCGTCTCCTGGAATTCCGGCGAGGCCACCGATAGCAATGGTATTGCCCCAATTGGGACATCGGCTATATTCGGTATATCCGCCGCCGAGGGCGAGGCGTCAAAGGAGTATGGACTCAGGCTGGAGAGAATGCCCAGGGCATCCGTGCAGATCGAGGGACATGGCACCATCTTGATGGTAACATGGGTCAGCAGGCTGGGATAGTGCTGTCGCATCACCGCCTCAAAGGAGCCACGGAAGGTGGTCACATCGGATTTCTTGGCAGTCAGCTCACTGGCCGCATCCAGGACACTGCCCGCATGGACAACCAAAATGAGGATCGTTGTAGGGCATGACGGTGTGCTCGGAGATCCCGGCGGCGACGAGTCATGGCTGCGATCCACACTGGCGGAGGAGCGCAATTGTCGCTTATTACCGCGCTCAGAGGCCACGCGCATGAGAAAGTCCTGGTTGAAGATGCTGTCCTCCTGCCGTGAATTACCACGACCACTCACCGATCCACCGCTTGTAGGGCCGCCATGTGGCGGCGGACTGTCATCGCCCTCGCCCAGTAGCTCCAAGGAGCTCCATTTGGCCAGCGAGTTGGTTTCGTTGGTGTCTAGTGGAGGGAATATATAGGGTATAAGGAAGATGATGATTTATTTCGATTAAAACATAACCCTAACAAATTATTTCTTTATTTATTAGTTCAAAATATATACAAATAATATTTTAAAAAAATTTTTAAATATATAGTTATTGAAATATATATAAAGGTTAAAAATCTTACCTAGGCAATCAAAGAATTCCTCATCCGAATTGGATTTGGAGTCCACTTCCAATCGCTCCATGCGCCAGTTTGCCACCTAAGGATATTTTGTGTTGTTTAATTGTACAGATTTATCTTTTTATTATATACTTTATATATGTATATATACTATATCGTTTCTCAGCTAACATTCGCTACTGGCAACTAAGGGAGCTAATACTGAGAGGCTTAAGCTTGGGCTAACTGGTGGAAGGTAAGCTAATCAAGACCTGCAACTAAGCAAATAACTAAGGGAAAGTTATTTAAGGAACTTTAGAAACTACATTGTTGGTATTATAATCTTGGTCATTAATTTTTTACTAGAAATAAATAAGGATAGAGGGGGCGACAGAAAGGAACTTACATGTCTGCGTGGCGCTGTCTTTGCATGCGGCTTTTTTGACTATTTTTTCGGGTTTAGGTTTCATAAATTTCGTTGTGTTTTTTGTGTGTTGAGTTATTGTTGTTGTTCGTTGGTAGATTGTGTGTTTGAATGGAAGGTAAATAAAATATTAATTGGTAGAAAGACGCAGCACATTTTAAGGACAAAGCCACGACACACAACACAACACACAGAGAAAAAATAGAGGAAAAATACATTCAGAGTCATAAAGTTGACACTTGAAAGCATGTTCTTAAATTTAATAGAAACAAATGGTTTTTAAAACAATTTAAATTAATTATTAAATGTGGATTTATGAAACATATTTAAAAGAAATGGTTATTAAATAAATAAAACTCTCTTTTCATTTAATTTATTTTTTGAACCTGAAAAAAGTCTGGAAGAAATACAACCGAGCTTCAATTGATTGGGGAATCCCAGTTAGTCAGTTTAAATTTCATTTAAAAGTCAATTTACATGCTAGTTAGAACGACAGTTCAATCAAAGGACCTAACAAGATGAGTAACACCATACCATTTTTTTGTAATTTAGCTGAAAAGTTTTTAACGTTGTTCAAAAACCAGAGAGCGAAAGAGTAATTCAAATGTAATACTTGAACGTTATGCATCTTGTTATTTTGAGGTTTTAAATTTATAAGTAAATTTGAAGAAATAAGTATAAGTAAATATGTCTGAAAGACAAGAATCAGCTCAAGATAAATGGAAAGAATTTCTTGACACCTTAAGGTAAAAATATATTTCTATGGAAAACTGCATGGCCAATAAGCTATTTCTATTTAAAAAAAAACTCTTAACGATTTCCATTCCTATAACAATCACACGTATTCAACACTGAGATTAAACAGCAAAAGGACAAAAGAACAAAGAAAAACTCAAAGATCGAAGCTCACCTGAAGATCAAAGCTGTGGGCCGAACCCACAGGCGAGTGTAGGGCACCCTTCGAACCGAACTTGGCCTTGTTGTTGGCCATCTGAATGCTCTGGGATCGGGAGCGCTGAGCAGAGGTGCTGCCTTGGGCGGTGGTCAGATCAACGCCCCTGCCTATAGCATCGTTCTCGTCCTCATCATCATCCTCCTCCTCGCCCTCGCCCTCCTCCTCATCCGAACTGGCCTCTGCGCTTGGCGGCTGTTGGGTGACAATCGGCGGTATGGCCGGAGCAGACTTTTTACGCTGCTCGCTGCCCGACGTGGAGGCGGCAGCAGTGCTGGCCGCAGTACTCATATACGGCTCAGAAGTGCTATCTGTAAATGGTGAATGGTACACATCATCAGAGGGGTTTATTTCTTGAAACGACGGCCTTGGAATGCTCCTGCAAATTGTGTGTAAATTGCAACCTTTTAAATATTTAAGATTTGCTTAGAATTTCAGTCAAAAGCCCTTGCGATCGTTATCATAATAAGGGAAGATTCAGTTGATTTTCCTGCCCCTTACCTACAGTACAGTGTACAGTGGAACGCTATATATGCCAATACAAACCCAATACAATTGTAACTATTCAAACTAATCGATTTCTCTTAATCATTTCAACACGTTTTTGATTACAATTTTGCAAGAGCATTTTGCGAGGTGGCTGCCGATGTGGCTGCTAGGATAATGGACTGACCATCGCTACACTCCTCTCCGCCGCCCATCTTTTTGGCCAATGCCAATTGCGTCTGACGCTCCAATTCGCGTATGTCCTCGATGGTTAGGCCATGCCACTCGTCCTGCCAGGCCCAGGCCTGCCGATGGGCACGCAGCATCATTTTACGCAATGCCACATCGTGAATGAACTTCTCCAGCTTCGTCTGCATGCCCCAGTAGCGGAACTCAACGCGACAGATCTTGTAGGCGGTCATCAGGGACATGTTCCTGGGCGTTGGCTGCATTTTGCCCTTCACCTCGCGCCAGTACTCCTCCAGCCAGTCATCGGGCAGTGGGCCCCTGCCCGTCTTTTCGGACACAAAGTGCTTTGGATCCTCCTCCTTTACATAGTCGCCGCCCCACAGCTGATCCTTGACAATGTCAATCACATCTGGGGAATGTAAAGCATAAAAAAAAGGTAACAGAAAGTGGAAAGATATATACCAAAATTATGAATCAATAAAATAAATAAACTAATATTAACTGGATACATCGTAAATTTTGTTATTGAATTCTTGAAAATCGAAAAATATCGTTATTATCGATTAAGATGTCGAAAATACTGTACACTCTAATATATTGGATTCGTAAATATCGAAATAAAAAATATATATATCAAAATGTATTAAAAAATATTATTAAAGTTATCTTTTTCCGATTAAAAATAATATCGATTTAACGCAACTTTTGCCTCTAATATCGAAATAATATCCCTAAATCAGTATCTTTTGTCATCCCTTGCGCAGACTCACCCACAATGCGGTTGCGTAAATCACTGCCGGACAGCTGAAAGACATTATCCTGATATCCATTATCTGGATAATAGTATGTCTCAATGTCCAGCGAAAACTTCTCCACAAAGGGGCAGGTGTAGCGAGTTCTGGTGTAGGGATAGGCATTCCACGCCTCCTCCTCCACGGTTAAAGCGCTTTTGGGCAGAAGACCTAAGCCCAAATAGGGATGAAAATGATTGGAATACTTTGAATACAGCTCCAACACTCACTCTTGATCCAGCCCGGCAGATGATTGCCCACGTGATAGATCTTCTTCGTGTACTGGCCATTTCCCCCGGGACCGTCCTTGTACGGCTCATTGATGATTATCTCAACGCCACTGCCCTCGCCATGACTCTCCTCGCGACTCTTTTTCTGTGGTTCGAAAAAAGCAAAAGGTATATCCATTAAATACAGTTTTAAACAAATTATATACACAGCTATTTAAATTCGCCAAAACGAAAAGGAACTATTGAGGAAGTTTCCGGGAAAAAACGTTTAATAAATAATATTGCCAGCAAAGTTGTCATAACAAGCTTAATGTTTGTAAATATTTGTCGGATGATGTGAATCGTTGTATAAACAAAGCCTCTATAGACACTTGCTCGAGTCGTTCCAAAGATTATATTGGCAAAATGTTTGACCTTTACATCTACCAGCAAAACTGTTCGAGTTTACATTAATTAATACGATTTTAAATTAAAAATAAGCAGCTGTTTCTTAACATAATATTCCAGATATTCATAGTTGAATACAAACCCATTTTTTCTTTGTTTTATAATATCTTAAAACTTCCGTTTTTCAAGGATCTTCAGTTCTCAACTCACCGCAATCATGTAAAGCTGGGCAATGCGATACTCCTCGACGGTAAGGGGCAACGGAATGCGGTACTCCTTGATCAACATGATGATGATGATGTCCTTGTCTCTGAGTCAAACGGGTAAAGCCCTTCGCTTTTAGTTGTCCTCGAATGGTGGTCGTCGGGTGCTCTGTCCTTTTCGCCTGGCAATCACTTTCTTTCGCACTCTTAGGGTATGGCAATCATCGATTTCCACTGGTCATGGCTGGAAGATGTAGTGGCGACGCTGCCTGGCGACGTCCGACGCTTATGAGGAGAGCAGGGCAGCACGAGCACGTCTATGACCTGAGCGAAAAACGGCGGGAAAAAGCGCAAAAGGGGGGCGAGGTTAGTCTAATCCGAGAAAGCGGTATATATATTTTCCGGGCCTTGTGGTGGTGCCACCTGGAAGGAGGGCGGCAGGTCTAGTTGGTGTTTGGGGAAAGGTATGCTAGTAGCAGATGATATGGCTTCTCTCTTGTGCTAGTGTGACATTTAACTGAATGAGCAACTTGGATGACACAACTAAGGGCAGTAAAGCCCAGACTACTCGACTGTTAAATACCCAGTAATCAAAGCTTATAAGAACGTTTCACAGTTAAAATGTAAGAAACTTGATGACTTAGTCAAACCCTAGTTAGCTTAAATATTATTAGCAATGGTTGATTTGTTTGTTTTGCTTATGAAAACAAAATAAAGGTAAACACAGCCTACGACTGCATTAAAGTAACGTAATTAGCTTAAAAAAAACCGCTTAAATATTCACAATTACCCTAATCCAAGCACATACTATAGTTGAAACGGCTTTTTATACGAATCTAGGTCAGAGCCAAATGGATATTACAATGATGCGTGAGTCCTAAAATGTGAATTGCCATTTTATTTATTGATTTTGAGTGACACCCTCACCAAGCCCAGAACCGACCAAGAAAGATAGATAGAGAGAAGGGGTAGTGGACAGGCACTTCACATAATCGGATGTGCCTCGAGGGCTTTCAGGGGTTTGACATCAAGGGAGGGCGTGGCACTGTCAATTAAATGACAACAACAACAGCCAGCAAACCAGCTACTACTACAACAACAAGAACAATTGAGTGTCCGATAAGGTCAAAAGCATGGTCTCACATTTCACAGGGCAAACAGTGCTGCCGCAGCTGGTCATCTTTCATTCCAAGACACACAAGACTATTATTTTTTAGTTATTTCTTTTAAATTTTACAACTAAATAAAATGGAAAAAATATGGTTATATGGAATTAAAAACAAAAATCAATTCTCAAACTTTTCTTTAAAGAAGAGTATTGGAAAAATGTAATATCAAATCTTTCATCACTGAGCTCAAATTGAGCTTATCGTGCATAATTTGGTTGTTCATCGTTCTTACCTTGTACTATTTTTTACTATTTCTACTTTTTCTCTTTTATTTAATTTTATTTTTATTTTGTTTTTTTTCTTTTTGCTAATTGGATTTATTGTTGACTGCTGACAACAGGAATTCCTATACAGCTGTGAAGGCGGCTTTATATAGGAAGTCTGACGCAGTTGCATCGCATTTTGACCTATTGGAATGTCACGAAAATCGAATGGGAGTGCGGGTGGGTGGTAGGTGGGTAGGTGGGTAGGTGGGTGTGTTTGCTATACTAATTGGGGTTGGAGTATAGGTAGGCAAACACGTGTTACACACGACTGATATTACGTACCCATATAAAACAGCAACGGGAATTATCATTATGTGCGATAATAAAGTGATTGGTATACGTCGTGCCGTGCATAAATATGAATTTTAATATACAAATAAAGCAACAGTACATATTGGTCTAGACAAGCCTACATTTTGACTATATTGTAATAAATATTTAAAAAAAATATGCTTCAGCCATTAGTGCTCAAATATTATAAATAGGTATTATTATTCTTATATTTTTTTTAAGATCAGCAAAGTTCTCTCTACTATATTTATAACCTTTAAACTTAATGTCAAAAACTCTTACTTGTATTTATTGGTTTTGTAAGATAATTGAGATAATATCATACAAAAATATACAAAATGAAACAAATCTTTCCCAAAGCTACAATCTCTAGTTTGTTCTGCACTTAGTCTGTCACCACTGTAGTCACTATTACTATCAACAACCGCCGTTAATGACCTTCATAAGAGTCCTAATCTGTTTTTAGATCTTATCTAGTCATTTATCTCGGCCACAAATTTGTTTAGCTACTAATTAAATGCATTCAATTCCCTTTTAGCAATTCTGAAGCCCAGAAGAGCTCTAGTTTTAATTAAACCTTATTGTGTTGTGCAAGATGAGCAGGAAAATTGAATTGGAGGAAATTCTAAATTGATGGAAATTACATTCCGCAGACATATTTATGTAAGCATGACTTCGCTTTAAAATTTAAAAAATTTAGAATCTAAATAAATCTAAATAAAAAATAAAATTCTATTTGAATTGTTTATTTTTTCGACAATTTTGAATAGATTTTAGATGCTGCCACAAAAGCTGTCAATCAATAATTATTGGAAACAGGTGGAAGAGGAGGAGGGGAAAAACAAAAACAAACCAGGAAACGTGGGCACCGAGAGAGATAGAGAGAGAGAGAGAGAGAGAACAGGAAAGATTGATAAGGAGGGGGTGGTGATGGGTACACCCTCTACACACACATACCAGCACATGCTTATGTCATGGCAGCTTCATGGCAGGCCATCACAAAAACCTTAACAATATGGCCACTGCCTTCTCTATCTCACTCTAATTTTCTTTATTTTCCTCCTCCCCCTCCTTGCCGCCTACCTTCATCGCATAATTCCATTCTGTGGCACAGAAAATGCGCCGAGAGACATTTTCTTGGCTGGCCACCTTGGCCTAATGGTCGTGGAAACTAACCCATTTTGGGTCAGATTTTATGATTACAGCATTTGTGGTGTCTAAACTTTGGACTCTTAAGGTAAACAATCTTTTAAAATTATCTAAAATGTATATTCTAAAACATTGCATTACTCTTCGGTAACAAAAGTTGTAAATCTATTTAAAAATGGAATGTACATATATAAATTTTCTTTTATGTGCTCATTTAGATAGGATACATGTACGATGTGATATGATATATCTACAAACCAAACAAATAAATTGCTTTATAAACAATAATAAGAAGAAAAAACTCTGCAGAGATAGGAATAATTATGTATGTACGTACGCGTATAAAGATACTAAAAATAATGTCTCTTAAGAGATATAATACATAGTACCGTTATGATGTACAAGGGTTATATTATAGCTTAGTTTAATAGATTAAGTCCTAAGCTTTAACCATAAAATAAGCTTGATAGGAACGATAAAACTTGGGATAGTTAAACCTATATGATACTGATACCTTATATAGACTTTAGAAGAAATTCATGACTACAGATATTATATTTAACTTTGTAAGTTGTGTAGGTGGCTTTTGAAAATATCCGAAAAACTTGAGTCAATTACGATCAATTCATTTATTCATCACACGCCTTTGAAATTACTCAATTTTAATATATGTAAATTGAAAATGCATACATGTTATTCTAAATATATTCTCACCGGCTCTTTGGATTTATATGTAGCAATTCTTCCAAATTTCTCGACAAAATATTTGTAAGAAAATATAATGTGGCATTGTGGCATTTATCAAGTTTATGGATTTCACGGTTTTGACATTTATTGGGCTTCGCGGATCGTTAAGCTTGCCATTTTCATGGAGCATTTTGCATTCAGGCCCACTGTGCATCAATAAAAAAAATTACAAAAACACACGCATGGGCATACGAGGTTTCGCTATAAAAGAGCTTGCCGAAGTGCAGGTAGCCTTCAATGTGATTGTCTGTTTATGATGTATTTTGTCATTTTACATATTTTTTATGATGTGACTAAAGGGCAAAACAAGCGTAGACACCGAAAGAAAACCAGAAATCACAGCAATGACTAATCCCAATTTATTTTCAGCTAAAACAATAGTATAAAAGAGCTTTATCCCAGTGAAGAAGATCATGTTAAGTCTTCCTGTTAAGTATTTTTAGTCTCTATAAATAACAATAATAAATTGTAATTTATTAATTAATTTAATAATATATTGCACTCTTCAGGTATGAAGGCAATATAGCACGCAATTAAAAAAAACTACTTAAATATATTTAAATAATTCATTTGTTGTTAACAATCACAATTCGTCAATAAATTTGATTTCAGACAATTTTTGAGTTGAATGTGCGATTGTTAGTTTAATCTTACCTCGTTAGGAGGTATTTTTTTTCTTTAATTTAGGGAGCCAACTGAAGGGGGCAACAACAAAATTGATAAATAAATTGCCAAGGTAATTGACCAACAAATACAATACCGTTGCAATAGAAAGGCGCAAAAGGCGGTAATAAAAACATAAAAAAAAGAAACGCATTCAAGCGGAAATAAACGAGCGCTCGCGGAAAAGTGACGACGACAGGCGGAGATGCAAAGAGAGCAAAGGTTAAAAAAAAAGCCTATTAAGTCCGAGTTCCAAGTTTAGTGAGCTGAATTAGATGGAAAAAAAGCACACACAAAGGTCGAGTGCTCTCGTTCTGTCAGCCTCTCTTACTTACCGCTCTCTCTCTCTCGCTGCCCCATCTGCCACTATCTCCCACTCCCCCTGCTTCGCGATGCACACCTGTGGCACGCTTTATGTTTATTAATATTTTATAAATACTATAGGCCGCGTAATGAAAACACAACAAAAGCGCACGCATCATCCTTGGGCTATGCTTAAACATTAAGCCTCCGACACTGAGCCAAAAACCAATATTTTATTTGAAATGAAAATTTATACATTTGCTTGTAAAATGGGCCTTTACTTTATTAAAAATTTATTATTAGTATATGTACTTTATATATATAAGTATATATTATTATTATTATTTGTAAGAATAATCATAGCGAACAGTTTTTCTAGGGAAATCGATTTTGAAGGATCCACTATGATCTCGTTTTTGATATGGTACCATATTGGACATATCACTATAAATATTAAAAAAAAAATTTGAATTATTTTAATAATATTATTTATAAATTGATAAAATATTAGTTTTGAATCCTAATGATAAAACACTGCATTTATTATTTACCAAAACTCATTACATTTTGAAAGCCTTAGTAATTATACCCTTGCGGCTAAAACATAGGGGGGGAACAGCAAGAAATTTCTTAACTTTCTTTTAAATAATGTTCGATTCGTTTCTATGGCAGCTAAAAGACCCAATTGTTTGATACGTAAATACACTTGCAATAAAAATAGGCCTATTTGAAATGCTTCATCAAGACAGCTCTAAAACTGAGAGACTAGATCGACTCGGCTGTTTATGATTGCAAACTTCTCACTAGAATTACAATACCCTCGGCAAGGGTATAATCAACTATAATGTAGAAAATAGAAATGTTAAATCCGAGATCGCGAACACGAATCACTGAGAAACGAAAAAGGCAAACAAACAAAAACGTTGCGTGAAAATTACGCACGGAAAATTCTTATCAGAATTCAGCTGCTGCTGCAGACGGGGCTCTGCTAGTTGGCAAAGAGAGAGCAGAAGGCGGTAGGGAAGGACAGTCTGTGGCACAGGCGGAGTAGGTGATGGAGAAAGGGGGCGGGAACCTTGGGACCTGGCCACAGCCAGCCACCACACACACTCACACAGAGGCACATGCACAACGCAGCTTACGCATTTACGCACACACACACACAAACAGATATAGGGGCTATATCTACACCCACACACAACAGATGAAGAGCTGCACCGTTATCCTTAACTAATTTTGCGCATTTACTAACAACAACAAAGTGTTTGCGCTTTAACAGGTTAACAACAAATAAACAAACTTTCAGGGGCAACTCACATTTTTTATCATTCGCTGGCGGGCAGCTGCACAATTAGCAAAAACAACAGCAATAACAACTAAGGGCAGACCATCAACGGAAAAAGAGGCACAGCAACAACAACAATTTATAAATACAGTAAATATTTGCTGGCTCGATTTTGGCGATTAACACAATTTATCTATTCATTTGCTGCGGCCGCTTTTCCATTCCACGAAATGAAAAATGTTTTCAGCGTCGTTGCTTGCTTTTTCTTTTGTTTTTCTTTTTGCAATCAAAACGTACACACTGAAAAAAAACGGGCAGCGCGGCACCGACGTCCGACTGGGTCCGATCAAAAGCTCGCACCGACAGAGCCAACAAATTTCAATTTCGTAAAAAAAAACTTTGTCGAATGGCCGCTCGCACTTGCCTTTATAGGGTTTTCCCACACCCAGTCAGTGATGTCATTCCCGCTTTTTTCCGTTACATTCAGCTTATTTTTAAGTGTAATTGCAATTATAAATAGAAACTAAATGAAAATGAAAAAAATTCAAGAATTTAAAGAAAATTAAAGTTGATTTCTTAAAATTAAATTAAATTGTGTTTCATTGCCGATTTTCCCGAAATATAGAGAACGGGGAGGGAGGGCAGAGTAATTGGTCTATTTTCAAATTATTATTTTTGTTTTTACATATGTGTGTGTTTTTTTTTTTAATATTTTTAAATTTAAATTTAAAATTCAATTAAATTTATTATTATTTTTTTTTTTTTAATTATTATCAATTAGGAATTAGGCTTTTTTTTAGCTCTTTATTTTTTGTTCAGAAAATAATGACATCTCTGTCCGCGAGGGAGGTTCTCGCGAGGTCTGTTACTGCACGGAGCTTTTGCTCCAGTTAACAGAAAATTCTGTTAAGTTGAGAGCCGCGAGTCAGCGGAAACTTGCGCTCTAACAGCAAGCAAGCGGAAACAAACAACGGAGAGCAGCACTGAACTGAGCGGAAGAGCGATTAGAGAGTGCTCCTCGGTTGGGCGATTCCGAAAAATTATTTTCCGTTAAAAGCTCCGGTTCAAATTAATTGTATATTGTGTCTTTCCTCAGAATGTATTTAAACATGATATGCAGGCAAAGGGGCTATTACTTCTGAAAATGTTTTTAAGATATCTATCATAGTATTATCGATACATCCATCTTATTCACATCTCTACTACCGACTAGCCCCTTAAAGAAGAAGAAAGAAGCTGTCGTGGGTCCCATCACGTCGAAGGAAGAAACGGATGTGGGTCCTATCAAGTTAAAGGAAGAAACGAAGTAAGAAGAAACGAAGAAAGGAAGTTGAAGAAAGCCTATGAATGAAAAGGATGGGGAACTCATGAAGCCTGAGAAAGAAGAGAATAAACTTCATGAAACTTACAATTCTCCCAATGCAAAGTACATATCTTTCATGTTTCTATTACTAATGCTCATAATTTCTACGATTGTACTATACAATAATTATACTAACAACTAACCTATTTTAATATTTACTCTTGTTTTTTTTTTAATGAAAAGTATTTATTTTATTTTGCAGTCAATCCCACTCGAAATCAGAGATTTGAATAAACGGCAATCGAGGTTTTTCGGTACAACCGCTGTGTAAATTGTGCGCACGAAGAGCGCCCGCAAGAAAGCCCCTTCTCTTGTACTCTCTCGCTTGGGGGACGACGCAGCAGCTGAGAGGGGGCTCTGTAAATTGGATTTATGGATATCTGCCAACGTCCCGGCGTCCTTGTGCGCCCCAAAAAGAGAGAGAGAGAGAGATAACTGTGACTGCAAGTTTAGCGAGAGAGGGTGAAGAAAGTGGAGAAAAGCGAAAGCAGAATTCTGTTAAGTTGCCCCACTGACGTAAAGGGCATTTTCAGTTGGCTGTTACGGCGAATTCTGTTCCGTCAGAGCCAAAAGCAAACATGTCACGACGGGCACAAACAGAAGAAGCCAACTGTTTTTAATGCCGCTCCGCTTCTGTCACTCCATCGCAATTCACCTGTCCCCCCTCTGTCTATCCTGTCCGATGCTATCCTATCTATTGCATGTGATAGAGTTTAACTTTGACATTTACACGGCGCATGCCCGAAAAGCAAAAGCAACAAACATAACAAGTTCTTTGCTAGCGGTATGTTTGGATGTGTAAAATAGCTAACGGTATACTAAATGCAACTAATGCTGCTTCCTGCTGTCTCGCTCATTAATTGAGTGCATATCAAGCTGTGATGGACACTAGTTGCCTTATTTTCATACTCCCTCTTCTCATGTATCTTTTTCAAACTACCCATGTTATACAGTGTTATTCTTACAATATATTTAATAACTTTATAATATTTCTTCATACTATAACTTAATATTCGTATTATTTTGACCCGTGGTGTATGTTTAAAAATAGTCTGCAATGGGTTTTATTTCTTTCTATCATAAGATATCTGCTGTTTATTTCCCCATTCGTCCGTTTTACCTGTACTCAATTATTAGGTGTCATAACGCATGGTTAGTATCTTTGATTGTTTTGGTTAATCGTGTTATTCTGTTCTGTGTTATTAAGATCACATAAATTTAGAAAACCTTGCATTTGTTGTCTTTTTATATGTACTCCTACAGGGTACTATAATTTTGAGCATAAGTTTGCAACGGACTGAAGAATAGAGGTGGAAAAACATGGATGTTTTTAAGATTTTTCGATATAAATCCAGTAATTGTAAAGGTAAAGAAATTTCCAAGGAAACAACATTGACGTTAACAACCAGAATTTTTTTTCAACCAGAGTAAAATGAATAAAAAGAAATATTAATAATATATATGTTTTTTAATTGCAGCTTTTATTTTTATAGAGTGTTTTTTTTGTTTATTTTTTTCGTTCAATGGAACTCTTCACTAGACTCAACATTTTTCCGGGTGTTTTCTCTGTTTTTCTGAGTATCAGACGACGGATGTGGTCACCTTGTCCGTTGGAGCAAACAAGCAACTTCCTAGTTCTGGGAGCGATGGACACCGTGGTAGGCGGCCTGCTTGAGGGCGGGGCTGCGCTTACCGAAGGGGCTCTGGGCATTGACCTCCAAAATGTAATCGCCACGCAGATCGAAATCGGTCTGCAGGCCCATGTAGGCGCGCTTGCCGAAGCCATCCTGCTCCTTGTACTGCTTTAGCGAGTTGGCAGGCACAGCGGGGAAGTTGCGCTCGCTACCGGGACGCACGGACTCGGCAAAGTAGCGGGTGGCACGGGCCACGGCCTCGATAACATTCTCGGAGCCGGGAACAGCGACCGAGGGTCCATTGGGATAGAAGTCAACGTCACCGCAGCGAATGGGGCTGCCCATGGCGAAGGTGGATGTGTGGATTGCGTCAACGAAGTCGGCATCGCCGCGGGAGAGTCCCACAAGGGTCTGGGGGCGCTTGGACAGCAGCTTGGCGGGGTCCAGGCCGGTGATGCGGCGCAGCTTGTGTCCGGTCTCGGCGGTGAACTTGTTGCCAGCAGCGCCGGCCACATGAGCAGCGATACCCTGGCCGATCAAATGGATGATCTCCTGAGGCACACCCTTGTTGGTCAGCTCGATCAGGGTCTGGCCGATCATGGCACCGGTGTTGGCCACATCCAGCATGGCGTAACGCTTGAAGTTCGTCAGGGTGGAGCCGAGGTCAATGATCTGTAATTAAAACGAAGTAATAGAGTCATCTTAAGTGGAATTTTAGAGGCTTTAAGGGTTTAACATTTTAAGCGTTTAAATAAGGTTGAAAACCGCATAAATATATAGAATAACTTACGATCAAATCGCCGCTGGAGGTCTTGGCCGACTTCCACTGATCGGCTTGCTCCTCGCTGCTGGTGTAGTCGTAGTCCGTGCTCTTGATCTGCTGCTCCTGGGCGTTCTTCTGCAGCTGCTGGAGATTGTAACGCTGGACATAGGCCTGGACCAGCTTGCGCATGGCCTTCTTGGCGGGCTGGCTGTTTTGGGGCAGGCCGGTAAGGACAATGGTCACCTCATCCTCGCCGAAACCAGGCTGGGCCTTGGCAATCTCCACATAGTTGTTCAGCTTGGCCTCCACCTTCTGGCCGTTGGACTTGACGATCCACACGTTCACATTGCTGGGGCTGGGCACAAAGCTGGGGGTCAGATCGTGCTTGATTTGGCTAACGTGGTCTAAGGATTACAAAAATTAATATCAAATTAAATTGATAATTTATAAATACTGGTTTTTCCTTGGATAACTTACAGATTTTCTCAATCAGCTTGGCACCCTGCTCCAGGGGCTGGCTCTCCAAACGCTCCCAGGTAATGTCATTTAGGGAGGGCACGCTCTCCAAATCGGAGGAGGTTAGCCACCTGGTGGGCTTCAGCTGCATGTTGGCATCCTTGGAGGCTTGGGCCGCCACCAAAAGGCAGGCCAGCAGGCACAGGCGCAGACTCATCTCGGGGGATCGGAGACAATCGGTGGATCAGATCGGGCCAAACGTAGAACGACGTTTGATGGTCTCTGCCATTCCAAGCCGGAACTTATATAGTAGGTCTCTCCGGCTCAATCAGCAGCAGCAGTTAATAGTAATATATTATTTTGCTGACCACCAAAAAAATTGCCGCCGTTCTGCTGATCGGTTGTTGGAAAAAAAATTGCCAGCCAGCGGAAAATGGCGAAAAGCTATATATATATTTGCAGTATATACATATATATTATCATGCGTTTGCCAGCGGATCTGTGATAACATATTAGGTTCATAAACCTTTTTTACACTTTTCAAAAAAAGAAAACCCACAATATTATCATAGTAAATGTTAAAGAAAAAGTGTATGCAAAAATGGGGCATTATAGAATTCAATAGGGTTTTCCAATACTTTAAAAAGTTTGCTTAAAAAAATTCTACAAAAAATTAAAACATAAATTAATGATTAAAGAGAATTCAAAAGGTTCTGTAGATTTATAGACAGTTCGTACAAGAAAATATGATGATATCAATACTGTTATTGATACAAAAATCAATATTTCAACTTTGCAATAACGGTACATATATGCCATTAATAAACTTTAAACTATATTTTTAAAGCCTTTTTTGGCTATTTTTCAATAGTATATATATTTATACTTTAATTACTGTATTCTCCAATATCTACATTATATTTCCATATATTAAAGGTAACTTTATTTTTTTAATAATATATACCCACTTCTTAACAAAAAAAATTTACTTTAGCAACGTTCCCCTCTTCAATTTTCCTCTCTGCACTTATTTTGTAAGCCAGACTGATTCAGAAACACGTTGAGGGATCTCTCTTGATTAGAATTGACCTGGCAACAAACTTGCTACACCTGCGTCAGTTTAGGGACGATGATGATGTGACCCTGGCATTCACCTTCGATTGGCTACCGGCCAAAAATCAAAAATCAAGGTGACTAGCATTTTTCCACATGTACATAGAAATATAAGCTGTTTTTTTTTTTGGTGTAAAAACTTTCATTGAAACCGAAACGATTTAGTGCAAGTCAAAATAAATCAATAAATTCAAAGTTATATTAAATTAAAATAATTATTTAATATATTAATTAAAATACTATTAAAATTATATTCAATTGAAATTCAAAAGCAAAAAAAATATACATAAAATGTTTATATAAATACAAAAATTAATATAAAAAAAGGCGATGAGTATATTCCCAAAAACTGTAGCTCTCTTACCATTGCATTTCATTATTTCATGGTTTAAATAATTTATTTACACTGTTAATTAAAATTACGATTCTACATTTTCCGAAACATTTAATTTCTTATTCTTTCATACAAAAAAAAATTGTTCATTAGCCTAGGAAACATTTTAGATGACACGCTTGTTGATGTTCGTATAGCCGATGCCCACGCAAGCCATTAGGACTTTCTGGGCACCACGCACATCCTCCTCCTCATCGTCCTCCGCCTCGGGATTCTCCAGCTTGAAAGTGATGGAGAAGAAGTCTCGCAGATGTTGCAAAAAGTGTACAGTATATGTGGAAAGGGCGCCTTCAATAAAATTCATAGTGTTAAAACATTTTCAAGGTACAAGGTACATCTCCCTTACCTGTTAGAAATTTTGAGACATGCTTTTGCCCCAAGGCTATGTAGAGCGCTGCCAGCCATTGGTAGGTGGAGTCAACGCAGCCGCCGCGATAAATCTCGTCCAGCAAACGCATGGCAACTTCCCGGCCCAGATCCTCGGGTATGGAAGGTGTGTCCTTTGAAAATAATGTCATATCGCATTTAAAATCGAGTCTTTATCGAATATTAGGCACAACTCACCGACTCCTCCCTCGTGTTGGAACAGCAGTCGGCGGCATAGCACACGCCGTCAGTCGTCTCCGCCACCAAGCAGATGCCAAAGCCTGGCGAATTACCCGACATCTTGCCCTTGTTCTGATCGCTGTAAATGTAGACGTCCGGCAGGAATTTCAGCATACATCCCTTGGCCGACTCCACGGTGCGATTCGCCATTGCGGGCGACACTTTGCATGCGTAAACGGTGCCCCGGATGCGTTTCACCATGCCCTGCGACTGGAATTGGATGGCCCGCAGGCTTTTGCGCACTGGACACCGGAAGGTAATCTCACCGCCGCCAAGGGGAGCGGCGCCGCGACGCACTACCTTCAGTTCGAGACCCTCGTCGACCAGCAGGAAGCGTTTGAGTAGCGACAATGCAGCGCCCTTGATATGGTCCACCGACGGCGAATCCTTGCTGTTGGTCACCCCGCGCAGGTTGCAGTGGAGCGGATTCTTGCAGAACGGGCCCAGAGCAATCAAGGCGTCCAAATAATAGCCAATGCCGCGCTGCACACAGCACTCGTGGGTAATGGAGCCGCCGTGCAGCAGGCCCGGCGAGAACATAACACTTGTGCCCGCCGGATTCAGTTCGATCTTGGTGCCGTTGGTTATCTTGTCCAGCAGCCGAATCAGGCTTATCTCATATTCCCTTAAGCCTGGCGCCGACTCGTCCTCCGATCGGATTTGATTGATCTTTACGGGCTTTCCGGACAAACAGGAGAGAATCAAACGCTGCTTGAGGAAGTTGCTGCCGCGATAAATCAGGCAATTACCCTCCTGGGCAACAAACGGCATTGTGGAATCGCCAAAAACGCCTTCTGTCTAATAGATAAATAAAATTGATTTCTAACCAAATGCACGTGCGTTCAAAGACGTAAACAAAAGCAATCGATTGTGTGGAGAACGTTTATCGATAAAGCAAAACGGTCTGGCAGTGCTTTCATCGAAATAAAGTGACCAAAATCCACTTTTATTGTTTTTGTGGGAAGCCCGATAACGATAGCAATGGGTTTTTTAGGGAGAAATCTCCACTGTTCGATATTTTTAGGGGGAAGGTCACACTACAAGTCGACCACAGGACGATCGGAGAGATCGAAAATTAAATTGAGTTTCTAATTTACACACAAGAAAACGTTAGAACAATGTCGAAAATTTCTAAAGTTGTTCCGGGATCAATGGTCGATGGGTACGTGGTGTGCCCTTTTGACAGCGTCCATCGCCTGCTTCCAAGCCGCCTTACCGTGCACCTTATACGCTGCGCACGCAACTTTCCTTCCGCCAAAATGGTCCGTTGCCCGTTTAATAATACCCATGTGCACTCCGTGGCTGATATGACGGTAAGTCCAACTGCACCGTTGTTGTGGAGAGATTTTCCCTAAACTGCCTATCCTCCAACCTTTAGACGCACGTCGGAACCTGTCCAAATCGATCTACCATGGTACACTTTATGAATCCGGAACAGCTACCGCCGATGGAGCCACGAGCGTCCAATTTCTGTATAGAGTCTACTGAGGACTGGGATGCTGAGCCCCCGGCACCGACATACAATCCGCAGACCCATTGTGAAAAGAACTTCATCATCATCAATCCCCAGGGAAACGGGCCGGCGGCACGCCGCGAATTTCGCGCTCGCGAGCGCATCCGTTTCATGGAAAACGACAAGTTCTAGGAAATGGGAGTTCTTCTTACATATTACAATATTTAACTGAAGCTAGGAAACGGCAACTTAATTTCTTTCCCTTTTACCCACAGCAGAATATCGGGACTTTGTTTTCTATTCTCTTTTGTTCGCATTTTCGAAAAGAACCGCACTATCGTAGTGTTGCCACCCTTTGTATACTTGAATGGCAAATTAAGAAAAGTATAAAAAAAAATCAAATGAAAAAGTATGTATGTATTTGTAATGAAACATTTACATTCTTCGCACTTAAAAAAAAAAATAATATAATCATTGAATAAATATGTATGTAAGCTTAAAGTTTTAAGTTGATCACGCAAACGACAGTGTTGTTGGAAGGCAGACCACAGGCATTCCAATGTCAATTAACTAATTAGAACATGTACTCATGTATTTTCTTCTGTTTATTTGGAATATAAAGAGTTCGGCTGCCACCTAAGTACTTTTTGAAAACACCGCAAAATTATTACATAGCTAATATGGCAACTCTGTGCTCTCAGGGCTTTGGAATTTAGTTAATTTTCCCCTTCTTTGCTTTTGCGCACATGCGGCCAGCGAGAACCAGAGAGAGGGAGAGCGGCCCTGTAATCAAATATAGCAAGGGTATATTTGTCAGATATAATCTGAAAAATAATTTCATTCAATTCTACTGCATTTTGAGCATTTATTTAAGCCGCTTTTTGACGAAACGAGGAAAATGTTAATTTTAAAATATTGCAAAGCAAAAAATCGGCTAAACTGCGCTTGTACACGGCAATAAAGTCGACCGCAAATCGAGAGAGTTCCGCAAGTCGACACCCCGACGCGCAGACAACCGCTATAAAAGCGCTCGCCGCGTTGCTCTCTCGCTCAGTCAAGTTGATTTTCACGGCGTGTTGAAACCACGGTTTTCCTAAAGTTTTTTTCCCACAAAGTTCATAGCTCGGCGAAAAGTTAAAAGACAAATAATCAGAAAACAAAGAAAAAGACAAAAAAACTGGGCTAAGTAGCTGAAAACCAAGCGGCAAAACCAACAACAAAGAAGGCAACAGCTCCCCACGCACACTACTGTACGGTTGTGGGTGTGTGTGTGTGTGCGTGTTTGCGAGTGAAAAGGATAGAAAGAGTAAAACAGGAGCGACGAAGGAAACTTCTAGTAAACATACACTATTTTTTTCTGTGAGTGCATTTTTGCCCACGCTAAAGAAACGAGCGCAGAAAAAGAACCCACAAACAAAAAAAAAAACAGGCTCCCAGCGTCGACGCCGACGTTGTTGTTTGCTGCAGCAGCAACAGCAATTGCAGTTGTTGCAGCATCGCAAACGAGAGAGAGTAAGTGAGAGGCAGATAGCAAGTTAGTGTTGTGGGAGAAGGAGTAGCAGAAGAGAAGCGGCACAAACAAATCAGAAGCACTAAAGGTAAGTGGCAAAACGATCGGCGAAGAGCGATTGAAAGTAGAGACAAAAATAAAACTGCCGGCGAATGCGAATGTGAAAGCGAAAAACAAAACAAAAATACAGTCGCGGTCGTTAAATACATGCATGCATATGTACATACAAAAATAGGGAGAGCTTTAAAATACTATTTTTCTATTAAATAAAGCGCACGTCTCATGCTATGAAAATTGTACAATAGGAATTACGTTAAAAAATAAACTTCAAATGAACGAATTGGGATTTGAATTCTTAAATAATTTTCCATTAGGTTCCACCAAGACTTAAGTTTTAAGAGTGCCCTCCTATACATACATGCACATACATATGTACATATGTAGAAAACATGTAATATTTTCGTACTGGATTCGAAATTGGTGTACGTGATAAATTCAACCAATACGCACGCACGCACCCGAAAAATAAACCGAGAAAAACAAAAACGGAAAACCGAAAAACAGCTGCCAAAATGAGATGTGGGGTTGGGTGGTATTTTTCTGCCTGCACAAACATACGCGCAACTTGTTTGTCTCATGTTTTTATTTTTGTTGTCTCCTTGTCTTTGGCTCGCCTCGTGTTTATTTGCATTCTGCGCCTCCTCCTTCTCCTAGTTTGCATGTCATCCGATTCCCTCTTGTCTCGTGGACTCTTTCAATCTTCCCATTCGTTCGTATTCCAACGGAAAAATGTGTGTTTGTGTTGTGTTGATAAAGCCTGTTCACAGTGGTGGTGTAATATCATAAGTATGGTCTGGAAACGAAGCCAGAATTGCAATTTCCTTTTAAAGAAAGATTTTTTTTTAAATCATACACAGAATATTCATATGTATGTAGATTTACAGTAGTGGTACCCAAAGCAAATTTAACTGCCAGCATTTGCCGGCACACAAACATACATACATACATATGTATACAGTTACAAAAGTGCATCAAACGTTTACATGGAACTTGTACTTGGTACTGTATAAAGCTCTTGATTAAACAAAATATCTGTTTATTTATAACAACGGTATGATTTACATTGACACTATGTATACATATGTATGTACATATTTAAAAAACTTATAAAAACTATGTTATTCTGATTGAAAATATTTGAATGAACTTGGTGAACTAATATTTTCGCCTTCGCTGTTATAACCGGCAACATACAATGTAGCCAATAATGCTTTTTCTTATTGGGCTGCTGGGTTTTGCAAAATTTTTGCGACGCAATTTCAACAGCGTCACTTTTATGCTTTTCGCCCCTCCTCTTGGTCTCCTTCGTTCCCAAGCTCTTTTTCCCTTTTCCGATTTCGGGGGTAAAAAAAAGGAGAGAAAGATGAGCGAAAGAGAGTGGAATCAGCCGAAAATAAATGTTTTTGTTGCTGCTACCGCTACCACGATGTTGTTGTTATCAGAAAAAAGGGGCACAACAAGTGCGAAAGCAGCGGCACAAGAAGAAGAACGGAGAAAGGAAGGAGACGGCAATAAAAACATAGAAATTCGTGAGGCGCACTAAATTTTCAAGGTTAAACCGGGCAAAACAAACATAAAACCGGTTACAGCATACAAATGTATGTACATAAGACTGGGACATACGTACATAAATATGTATGTATGTAGGAATACCGGCGGCTAAAGAATACGAGGAAAAGGCGGCGGTGAAAGCAACAGCAACGCAATATAAAGCACACACACACAAAACAAAACAACACATTAACACCAAAAACAACGCAGACATAAAAAAATGTACAGCGATTTTTTTTTGCTGTTTGTGCTTTTTGTTTTTATTTGTATTCTGCGTTACTACATGAGTTGGAAAATGCATACGAAAACAAAGCAACGAAAACGAACAGAAATTTGAAACTGCAAATAAAATAACCTATGTACATATGTATGTTCCGACATCTACATACATATGTATTTAGATATGTCTGTACATTGATATGCAAAAATGCATTAGGAAAATCTAGTGCCCTGCACATTCAGAAGTTGTACCTTTTAAACCATAATTATTTACATGCCAACTTGTTAGTAAGAAAGAACAACAAACAACAAATACCAGCTGACAAATACATAGTACATACAATGTAAATACATACATATATTAATTTACATATGTAAAAATACATAAACATACAATAATACATCGGAGTTGGTGCGATAGAGACGACGCTAATGTTTGTTGGGGGTTGAAAAGCTTAAATGGTAACTGAATTATGTGTCTGCTGTTTTTGTTGTTGCGTGACCTTGAATTTTGACTGTAGGGGAGTTTCGATACTGTCTATCGCTATCCCAGTCACACCCAAGCCACCATTGACAAACATTTTGCAATTTCCAAGACGCAGTACCGTTATACATACACTTGTGGCCAACAGAATATCCTCAAGATATGGAACCAAATGGGGAATATTGAGAACAAAATTGATTTTTTTAAATTTTGAAAGTGATTTAAAATATATTTAAATAATATAATTTATATTATATTATAAAATTACCAAACAAATAAAAAAAACAATAAAAGTAATCATAACACCGAATGCTACCTGTAATAGAAAGAAGCCTTTTGTAAAGTTTCCAAATTATAGATTTTAATGCTATTTTTATGAATACAGCAATAAAACTAAATGAAATATAGGTAGTTTTTTTGTTTTCTCATTGTGCTTCTCGTTTAATTTCTTATTTATTATTATTATTATTAATTATCGTAAAAGTTTAAGGCTGTAAACATTAAACTAGTGTTAATGCCATTAATTTAATGATAAATTAATGTAGAGGAAATTAGTTTTCATCTTCCCAACAAAACAATACCAAGTACTCATTGCTTTTAAACTTACATACATATATAAATATATGTATCTATGTAGTATATATGCTGCTGCATCCAATTGATTTTTGACACATTATTAATTGTGAATTATTTATTATTATTTGTAGAATAAAGGACGCGCACCTGGTGTCAGAGTACAAAAACAAATACAAAGCCCCCACAAATCACTCACACATCCTCGCTGTGCATTTCAAAAGGGTCATAAAAAGCGGGAGTATGGAAGTGGAATCGAATATTAAGCAGCGCTCCACTAATGGCAGACACTTGCAATCGCTATCTCCGGCGAGGGGATCCGATTCAAAGGAGAGTTCCGTGGAACGAGAGCTCAATGGGGACATTCAGGCGGTAGAGCTGAACGGCGGAGGCGCCACGAATGGGCACATCAAGAAGCCGCTGCCCGTGGATGATGGCAGGATTAAGCGCAAAGCAAAACGGCTGATCGTCCAAAGACAGAACAGTGGCAGCGGCACATCCAGCGGCAGTCCCAGCCAAACCAACGGCAATGGAGTGAGTGGAGCGGGTGGTGCCGGTGTTTCGCCAATAGTGATCAACGGTATCCTACCCACTCCCGGTGGCTATGTGGTGCCCCATCGCCGCTGGAAGAATAGTCGTCGCTCCCGGAACCTGAACCGCGGCCGTGGTCTGCCAAAGAAGGGTGGTGCCGGTGGCAAGGGAGTTTGGGGGCTACCCGGCTCCGAAGCTCTTGCCGAAGTCTATGAAGACGAGAATGATCCGAACTATGATAGCGAGTGCAACGATCGCAATGTGGAGCTGCGCGAGGTGATCACGGAGATCACACCCGAGGAGTTCTTCAAGCTGGCGGAGCCCATTGTTTTGGAGTATTACGAGCACGGGGACACACACGAGGTGGCCTTGAGCTTTGATGAGATACTGCAGGGTCCCTTGCGGGAGCACATCACTAGCATTCTCGTGGAGATCGCTATGGACCACAAGGACTCTCAGCGTGAGATGACCTCGGTGCTGATCTCCGATCTCTACGGCAGGGTCATCACCGGCAAGGACATCGAGAAGGGCTTCAACATGCTCCTGGGCAATCTGCCGGATCTCATTCTGGACACTCCAGAGGCGCCCTTTATGCTGGGCAATTTTATGGCCCGCGCCGTGGCCGATGATTGCATTCCGCCGAAGTTTGTGGCCAAGGCTGAGGAAGAGTTGCGTAGTCTACAGCTGGGCGAGTATGCCGAGCATGCCCTTCGTCGCGCCGACTCGCTGCTACACAAGCAAGGCTGGGCGCATTTGGACAACGTCTGGGGCATGGGTGGCCCACTGCGTCCGGTGAAGACGATCACCAAGCAGATGGAGCTTCTGCTCAAGGAGTATCTCTCCTCGCGCGATGTGGCCGAGGCGCAGCGCTGTCTGCGTGCTTTGGAGGTGCCTCACTATCACCACGAGCTCGTCTACGAGGCGATCGTAATGACACTAGAGTCCCTCAGCCAGACCACCGAGGAGGCCATGTGTGAGCTGCTTAAGCAGCTGGATCTCACCTGCTTGGTGCTGCCCGCGGGCATGGAGCAGGTTAGTAAGATCATCTACTTATTTTTATTAAGAATTATTTTAAATTCAGATCAGAGTAAAGTCAATATAAAACGACACTTTAATCCAACTGGATTCCATACTCTTTTCATTATTTTTTAACAGGGCTTTATACGCGTCTTTGATGATATGGCCGATATCGTTCTGGATGTGCCACTGGCTTATATAATACTCGATCGCTTCGTCGAGCGCTGCAATCGCGCCGGATTCCTTACCGACAAAATAATCAACAATGTGCCATCGCGGTAAGTTTATAAATAAATAATGTACATATGTATGTGTTTGAAAAAGTAAAGCTCAATACAAAGGGCCATTTATTTATAGCAGAAATTAAGGTTTTAAGCTGTAAATCGTCCTTTGGCGATACAACTATGATTTCACTAAAAATATCAAATTATAAATCGATGGTTCGATCGACACCATTATCATAGATTGTTAAGAAATGTCCTGTTTTTTGTTTTGTTTTCTATTGATAACAAAATAGAAATTCATGCGATGATAAAGAACGTTTGTTCGTCAAAGTGTATACTCTGGGGAACGCAATGAGAGCGGAGAGCCGTGTTTACGTAATCTTTTAGCAGCCGTAAAGACGGTACGGCACGCCCCCAAAGTTTTACCCCCCGCCATAAAAAAATGCCTATACACTGTTGTTTACAAAATATACACACAACTGTGGTCAATATCATAGCAGCAAAAATAGTTTTGACCAACTAAAGATACATATGTTTTCTTTAAAAAGCTTAATCAGACTAAATATGTATGTATGTTATTTTTAGGGGCTACTTGAGTGAATGCCTTTTGTTTTGTGGTGGTTAAGATTAAAATTTGCAACAAATTTGAAAATCTCAATTTAATATCTCTCAGTAGTAGGGTGGAAAATTCCGTTCAGAACGTGCAACTTGTACTGCTATTATAGTAAAGGTCATAGTCAAAAGGTCATGAGCTCAATGCCAATACTTATTTTTTATATAATTTAAGCATCTATAACCTAAACTTAATATTAATGTATTATAAAAATATATAACAATTTTTCCATATCTTTAAAGTTTTATTAAATTTTGGTATACAAAGACACCTTGTATACAAAGACACCTGGTATACAAAGACACCTGTAGAATTTGTATATATTTTTATATATTTTATTTCTTATTTATTTATATTTTTATTTTTTTCATCATCGTCCGTTGCTATTATACTGACCTCTGCTGTACATAGTAAATGTGGGTTGTGTACGTGCTTTTTTTTATTATTTATTTTTGTATACATATATTTTTTGCCGGCTTTGACTTGTTTATTATTCTTTCATTTTTGTTTTCTTCTTTTCGTGCTTTTGGCTCGGTATCTTATGTATGTATATATTTATGTATATATATACTTTAATATTATATGATTTGTGTACGCAGAGGCATATCGGATACTTATAGACGTGTTTTGTTTGTGGCCGGCGTGTTTGTCCCTGCCTGTGTGTGTGTCTTTGGGTTTGTTTATGAATTTCTATTGCGCAGTTTAGTTTCGCTTTTGGAATTAACATTAACTATATGTACATATACATTTATATGTACATACGTATGTAAGAAAGTGTTTCCATACATATTGATGGCGCGTCATCCGTTGGGGCAGTCTTCGTTGTTGTTTATATTTTTGCTGTTGCGCCGGTTAATCAGGTGCCGGCTAGTTATATTTATACTGGAATGAGTATTTATGTACATACATATGTGTGTATGTTTGTATATTGCCCCTTGCTTGTAATCACCTTTTTTATTTTTCAACTTTCCGTTTCTTTGTTGTTTTTAGTAATTTTTTTCTTTGTGTTCTTTTTGCATTAATTTAGGTGAGAATACTAAAATATAAAGTATTAGTGAAAAAGGTTACAATATATACATATATGTAAATACGTACATATGTACATACAGTCGTTGCCAGCTAATTAGAAACAAGACTATGATCGTTGAATTTGTATCGATAGAAGGATAAAAATTCGGGTTTTTGGTCCTTTTAGAAATATCATTGTTTAGTTAATAATAAGGGTTTTTGAAATACATTTTTTTTTTATGAAAAATATCTAAAATAATAATATTTTTTCATGAATAACATTTGAAAAATTGCCGAAATATTGAAACCCCTTAATATTGCAATATGTATCAATAAATGCGATCATTGCTTATCGCTCGCTGCTTATGTATCGTCGCAAGCTTTTTGTATTGCTGCTTTTGTTTGTTGCTATTTGAATTGTTGGTGCAACAACCTACATTTAGCTCAAGATCGTCTTGAGTGTCTGTGGGTCTGTGCTAGTGTTTGTGAGAAGGTAAGCATGGCGGCCAAGTTGCTGTTATCGACCTGCTTGCCACTCCCACTTTAGTTGCTATCGTTGTTGTTGTTGTTGTAATTGTTGTCCGTAACTGCACTTGCATTCGCCTTGGCTGCGGCTATTGCTCTTTGCCACTTTTAACGCAGCAACAACAACAACACAGCTCAACACGCGACAACTGAAACAGCAACAACGACAACAACACAATTCACTTTGCAACTCCAACACACTGACATGAAAAACTATATGTGTGACGTCGTTCTGCCAGCGTCAACGCCAACGTAACTGCAGAGCTGCAAAGAGCTTGCAAAAAAGCTGAACCTCAATGCCAAGATACACTCACACATAACGGTTGATGGGGGTCTGTGCTGGCAGGCTTAGCTTTCTTTGTCGCCAACAAATCAAGCAATTAAAGTGGACCTTAATTCAACAATTTTCCTTACTAATTTTAATATTATTAAATTAATTTATTATTTAAATTTCAATATTTTTATTTAGTTATTAGCTTTAAAACTGACTTATGTATTTTTTATCTATTTAAAAATTAAATTAATTAATAATTCAGAAAATACAACCTTTTAAAGGTTCTAGACGAAAAAAAGACAGACAAGCGCCACTCCTCCAACTGTCTTTGCTGGAGCTAAGCTCCTCTCTGCTCTATGCCTTGCACTGCATTTGCCTTTGCCTTTGCTTTTGCTTTTGGCGCTGTGGTTGTGCACTTATCTTGTCGCAATTTTATTTATTTTTTTTTTTAATACGTTTATGTTTTGTAGTTATGTGCGAATGTATGTATGTATACAAACATAGATACGTGTATTTAGCTTCTCACTTGGTCATTTATTTATAGAAGCAACAATTAAGGCTCCAGCAGACAGCTGCTTGCTGTTGCTGATTTGCAGCTTAGAATTCTTTGATTGGTCTGTGGCTCTCATGAAAAAAAAATTAAAAAAAAAAAATAAAATAAAACTAGTTTTAATGCTCTCAGTCTTCCCCCCTCTCTTTATCACTTCCTGTCTCTTTTGTTCACCCGCTACTTTTGCACAGCTGTTTGCAAACTGCAGCTGGGACACCGACACAGCCAAAGAGAGAGGGAGAACCTCTCTCAGAGGCACAGAAGAGAGCGTGAAAAAAGGGTCAACGGTTCAATGAACTTTTGTGCAAAATCGTTGTTGGTTTGCTTTTTTATTGTTGTTGCAGCCAAATTTACGCCAAGCATTTTGCAACATATTTTTGGTCCTCTTTGTTTCCTTGTTCTTTGTTTTATTTATTTTTGGCATTTGTTTATGCGGCATTGCATAATTGTATAATTGCCAACTGCGTAAGTGGAAAAGAGAGAGTGGCAGAGAGTTGTTATTATGAGATCTTTCTTAAATAATCTACAGTGGCTCACAGTAGAAGAGCATTTATCGACAGAATAAACAATATCATGCAATATCATTTGAAAATAAATAAATAAATAAATAAATATGTTTTATTTTTCCATTATATTTTGATCCTATATTTAAATCAAAATATGGATAAATCGTAACCTTAATATATTAATTAAATTTAAATATTGATAGAATAATATATATTATTAGATATTACAGATAGCATTAGTCAATTGTGTTCTAATGTTAAGCAACTATTTTTTTTTATCACTTCATTAAATTAAATTAATTAAATTGTATCATTGCAGCGGACGCAAGCGTTTCGTTTCGGAGGGCGACGGAGGACACGTTAAGCCAGTCACCTTGCCCACCTTGCGCGATTAAACTGGGATTTAATGCTGCTATATATATACATATGCATATATAACGACAACTCCAGCCTCCCAAAAAGGACACCTAAAAAAGCAACAACACAAGAAAAAAAAAAAAAAAAAAGAAAAACAAAAACACCAAATTATACACATGGAAAAACAGTAAAAATGAATACAAAAAAGTACTAAAAATAAAACACTACATATATAAGAAAAAGTTATATCAGGACGAAAAGTGAGGACAGGAAGCTGAAAATTGTTAATTTTGTCGCAAACCTTGAGCTAAAAAACACAAAATAAACAAACAATCAATCAATCGGAATTTGATCTCCGCTTAAACTATATTGCATAATTATGATACCTACATACAACGTATTTCTATATTCTACATACATATATAAAACGTAAAGCGGAAGTATATATATTTTAAAGATTTGTAAAAACAAGATAACGGTAAAAATAAAAATAAAAAATGAGAGAATCCAGCCAGAGAAAAGAAAAACCCGAGGATATGTAGACGAGATATCTCGGTCAGCATCCGAGATACAATGAAAGGATCAGAGCAATTCAATGAGGAGAAGGCAGAACGGAACAGCAGCGTACTTAGCACGCTGTCTCACTACATGCTTTCGTACTTGAAAGCGAACAAAGCATATATTACTTATACGAAACTGTTGAACACAACACCCACATCGTCCAGAAAACTCTTTTACACTTGATTTGTAACTTAACCACTGTTATACGATCCGTATAACACCTACGTATATACGCAAATTCCATTGATTTGAAGTTTCTGAACATTGTTACTATTCCTTAAGAGCGCATTATATTATCATCTCTACGATTTTTTTTTTAAATATCGCGTATATACATATATTCCTTAATTTGTATATCACTTTTTGCGTGTGTTTTGCGGCGTACACATAATTATGCTTAGTTATACATACATATTAACACATTTTACCACGATCCATTTCTTCTCTTCACTTACGATCTTTATTTTTATTTTTTTTGGCTTGAATAAACGTTGCATTTTATAAGATAAGATAAGAAAAAGACTTTGCTTTCGCCCCAAAAATGTATTTTTTTTACGATTGTTTCGCATTTCATGAAGAAGAAAAATTCAACATATTTTTACTCACATTCACAGACCCCCACACACATCTATATATTAAATATATATATATATATATAATATACATATATAAACTATTGTGTTAAAGCAGAAAATATTAAAAAAAAAATGAAAAATGTAAGTGATGTCTTTAAAATGGCTGTATATAGGGATTGTTTGATAGTATTTCAGGGGACAAAGGACATTCGCACATAGGTTTTTAAATTATTAGAAATACCTGTATGTGTTTTTCTATTATTCCTACAGACCCCTATACCTGTTGGTACAAACAGCATTTTTATTTCTTCTTAAATTAACCAAACTATAGTGCAAGTTTATTAAAATAATTTCGCAGTACGTCTACGAGGTTTATTTATTTTTTTTTTTTTTTCAAATGTGAGCTTATACAAAAGTCAAATAAATATACCTCTTAATTAAATTTAATTCTGCATATTTAAAAAGTAGCTTTGAATGCAATCGTGCTTCGTCACAGAAATCCTTAGACATTTCAAGCAATTACGTATTACTTTAAAAAGGGTATATCGGTTTTTGACTAAGGACTAAACCTACTTGTTTTACGATCCTTGGGTTACAACTATTCAGTGCTCTGCAATATCTAAAACAATCCTGTGACGAAACAGACCTTTCCTTAGCCTTTTTATGACATGAACATCCTTGTTGGAGGTTTCTAAAACCCACGGGAAGTTCGTTTGGGTCATCAGTCGGTTGCTGGAGCATCCGGTGGCTCCACCTTGACATCGGCGGATCAAGGTCGTCCCATGCCCACCATGCTCGAGGGCGGAATATGTACGCCCGGCTGACCCACTGTGGGGCCTCCCTGACCACCACCGCTCACCATGCCGCCGTGCAATGCCACATGCTTCCGGTAGTTGGTGAACTGCTCCAGATACTGCTTCACCGTGTCCATCGGCTCATAGATATCATTGTGCTTGGCATGCAGCTGCTGCTGGCCCATCGCCGTCATAATCGTTTGTGTGGCAAAGTATGAGGGAAACTCCTTGGCCACTCCGATGCCCAGGAAGCCCTGCAGCACTTCGCGTATCATCTCCCAGCAGTAGGCCAGAATCACGCAAGACTTGTACTCGATCTCGATGAGGATGCCCTGAAAAAATTCAAGATTTAGGGGGAAGGCAGACATGGGATATTGTCACAGGGCATACATACCTTGAAGTGCTCCATCATCGTGACCGAGCCCAGCTTGATCACAAAGTCGCCGTACTCGAAGCGGGCGCCGCGCGACTCGATCTTCGTCTGCTTCTTGGATGTGAACGTGTTGGTCATCTTGAGCATCAGCAGATCAAAGATATTGTCCGCTACAAGGGACACCTGCTTGCCGGTGCCATTGTCGATGATGGAGAATGTGGACGCCGGATACTCGGAGTTGTGCAGCACATGCACCGCCCGCCCGGGCGCTCCATTGTGCGGCTGCGGTGTCGATATAAATGTCTCGCAGTCGACCAAGAACTGGCCGGAGTGCGTGGCGCCCAGCGCAAGCAGGCGCTTGCCCAGCTGATCAATGATGTGCGCTCCGGACTTGCCCTCGGGCAGTGGGTACGGTTGCAGCACTGTCACGCCCATGCCTCAGTCTTCTTGGCAACGATTCAAATTGATAAACAAATTGATTTTATTTATTGCTCTTATGCCTGAGTGTGACCGTTGACCGCGTTCAAGGAAAATTCCCCAGACCGGCCATAGCGTTGCCAGAATTGCTGAAAAATGCTGACCAAAACAATCGATAGTGCCGGCCGGGGCATAATCATCGATAACTCCATCAGCGATAGTGACACTCGTGTTTTGACAGCTCTAGCTTGTCAGAAAAAAACGCCAGAACTTCTAGTCGCATTTGCTAATTTTATTTAAATATATATATATCTACCATATATTTGAAGAAAACCGACAGAGAGTTGTGAATATGGCTGCGCCAATGCAACACGAGGACCTTTTGAAGCTGAAGGGCTTCATCGAGTTCGTAGACTCGAATCCGACGGTTTTGAACCTGCCGCAGCTGCAGTTTGTGAAGGATTTCATTGAGAAATTCGGTGGCAAGGTGCCGGCGGGTGACTTCAAGATGCCCGACGCCTCTGCCGGAAGGTAAGTGCTTGTCCCGCCACTCCCCCCCTGGCACACAATCAAGGCTTTAATCTAATAACTGAATGATTCTCTTTGCAGCAAGTGCCCCTTTGGTGGCGATGCCAGTGCAAAGGCCAATAAGCCGGCTTCCCCCGGCGTCGATGCCGAGAAAAATGCCTCTGAGGACAGCGAGGATGAGTCCGAGTCCGAGCCCGAGTCGGATGTGGAGCTGGACATGGAGGGTGAGTGTTGTGCAGTCTGAAAATCGGTCAATTTTTGTTTTTGCAAAGTCACATGGGCCATTAAGGGGTCACCACATTTGCTTGCCCATTTGTGTGTGTGTGTGTGTTTGTATTTGCAGTCTTTCTGGAAACATCCAAACCAGGCAAGGTGCCTTCTTCTAGTAAACAGAAATGCTAACTCGATTAACTTGTCCAGAAATTAAAGATGCACAATTTAGGTTTACCTTATTTTTTGAAGGAGTTTTCAGAAATAAGATAATCTTTTATAAACAATTTTTATTTTTTAATTGCTTTTTAACATTTAAAGTTAATTATTTTTCCATTTTTATATAAAATTTGAGTTATGTTATTTTTAACTTTTAAAATAAAAATTATTTTCTAGCTTGTACTCAGTTATTTGTATTCAATATTTATTTTAAAAATTAACTATTATTTTTTAAATTATAAATTAAATTAATCAAAATTAATTTAATAAATTTAATTAAAGTAAATTTTAAAAATAATATTTAAAAATACAAATTATTCTAAAATTTTTACTTATAGTTATTTTTAAAATTAATTGAATTGAATTAATTTTTATATATTTATATTTACATTTTAAATTTAAAATTAATTGAATTTAATTTATTTTTATATATTTATACTTAAATTTTAATTTTAAAATTAATTTAATTTATTTTTATATATTTATATTTAAATTTTAGTTTTAAAATAAAAAAAATATATAAATATATAAAAATAAATTGTTATTTCTTAAATAATTATTATTTTTAAAATTAAACCAAATCAAATTAATCAAAATTTAATTAATAAATTTAATTTAATTACATTTAAATATTTTTTACATTTTTCCTCGATTAACATTCATTTCACCTCCACTATTTTATATATATTTATTTATGCAGGCGTGATCGAGGCGGACAGCGAGCCAGCACAGCCGATGGGTGATTCCGCCAAGGAGCCCACTGAGGAGGAGGTGGACCAGGCCGGCGATCTGCGCGCTCAGGCGGCATCTGCCTATGGCGAACAGAAGTTCGACGAGGCCATTGCCTTGTACACCAAGGCCATCGAGCTGAATCCGGGCAATGCTTTGTTCCACGCCAAGCGCGGCCAGGCTTTCCTCAAGCTGAAGAAGCCGAACGCCTGCATCCGGGACTGCGACAAGGCTTTGGAACTGAACTGTGACTCGGCCGCTGCCTACAAGTTCAGGGGACGTGCTCGCCGCCTGCTTGGTGACTTTGAGCTGGCTGCCAAGGATTTGCGCCAGGCCTGCAAGCTGGACTTTGACGAGGAGGCCGACGAATGGCTGCGCGAGGTGACGCCCAATGCCAAGAAGATAGAGCAGCATCGCGTGAAGCAGGAACGCCGCCAGGCCGAGCGAAAGATCAAGGATCGCCAGCGGGCTCAACGGCGGGCACGCAAAGAGCAGGAAAGGCAGAGCGCCAATTCGACATTCCCGGGTTTCCCGGGCGGAGCTGGTGGCCCTGGAGGCGGCTTCCCTGGCGGCGCGTCATTCCCGGGTTTCCCTGGCGGAGCTGGCGGCGGTGGAGGCATGCCGGGCGGCATGCCCGGTATGCCCGGTGGCGTCGATATGAGCGAATTGCTGGGAGCAATGCAGGATCCGGAGGTTGGGGCTGCTATGCAGGTAGGAATTCTAGAGATTTGTATATATAGTTTTCTATTTATTAACTTTAATATACTCCAATGTGTATTTTCCCCCACAGGATATTCTCGGCAATCCAGCCAACATATCCAAGTACGTGTCGAATCCGAAGATCTTCAATCTTATCAAGAAGTTTGTTCCCGGCGGCGATATCGGCGCTGCCTTTGGCCAATCAGAGGCCAAATCTGGAGCCGAAGAGGCCAGCGAGCCGAAAACAAAGAAGAAGGATTCCGCCGACTTCGTGGACGATGGCTTGGATTAAGGAACCCTAACTATGAAACATGTGGCGATGAAAATAAGTTAACAAAACATACACAAGATATAACAATACACACGACAAAGAGCAGGAGCGCGATACATAGCACTGGAAAGGAGGGAGACAGATACGGAAAAGATCTAAAAAACAGAGAGGAGGAGGAAGGAGGAAGAAACAGCTGCTGCCTTAGAAAAAATTACAACACACTCTCTCTTCAAAATACAACAAAAGACATTAATAAAGCCTGTCAGCTGCAAACTATTTCCTAATCCAAAAGGAAGAAAATAATGCAACATTTTCCTAAATCATCTATCGTCATGAACAAACATGAACAATACGATTCCTTTCACATCAAAGGAAACAAAATGTTTCCCTACACTTCAAAGCCAAGTCTGTCGGTCGGTCGGATCTAGTTGAACTAAAGCTCGATGAGAAACCAAAACAAAACGATGAAAATAAAACGTATATTAAAGTACTAGCCTTAATTAACACGGGATGCTCTCGAAGACTCCACATAACCAGATCGAAAGCCATATGCAAGCACAGCGAGAACATCATTTGCCCAAACAAAATTGTACTGAGTAGGATTTTGAGTAATAATAACGAATATTGTACTAAGCAAATGCATTTAGCCATCCGATAACAAGACACATGCCCACGAATCACTTACTCATTCATACACATACATATATATCCATGTAAAGCATTCATTCAACCAGTGATCGAAACGGAATTAATAATAAACGAGAATCCAAAGTGCTAACGGTGTCTTCCTTTTGTCAGCAAAATGGGGTCACTATTCAATCGATTGTTGCCTTGCCCCGCCCTTTGGGAAAATTGCAGTTTTGACCCAAATGCATCTGGGCGACCAGGGAAATAATGAATGAGCTATGGCAATTGTGTTGGATCTACCGAACGTTGTAGTATGTAAGTTAAAGAAGCGATTTATGCAAAAAAAAAGTGATTTTTAACATTGGACAACCCTTAAGGAAGCAAGGTCACTCAGAGTAGAGCTTATCTAACTTATTATGATGACAAGAGGTCCAGGATTTGGACAGAATAACAATATATCTGTTCTGACGCCAAGCTAGTACTATGTATAAATTGTCGGTTACTCATGGTGAGCTAAAAACATTTGCATGTTCTAAGGTTCTGCCCGAAGGCGATCCGCATTGCTGTTGCATTACGTTTCCAGCTAAATGTGTGGTTTGTTGTTGTTGTTTAATGGTTTTCCTGATGTTGTTAATACTGATAACTGCCAACCACCCACCAGGAGAAGGGTGGTCTCTCTCACATCTCCATCTACCATCGTCACCGTCTTTTCCTTGAACTAGCGATGCATTACTCATCGAACTTTCCTGGGAGGCAACATTTTTTTTGTTTTGTTTCTTTTTTTAACTTTCAAAAACTAAACCTAGGAAGAATTATGAAATTTAACGATTAAACTGTTAAGGAATTTAATTTTAGGTCCTACAGAAATACTTAAAATTTCCAAATGGAACACTAACAGTTGAAGTGCGAAAATATTTGGAACCCATTCTTTATTTTTATTTTCAAGGTAATTCAGTCCTGCCCAAGCTCGGCTTTCTTTCATGATTTCATTAATAATTTTCAGTGGTACTTTTAATTCATATATATTTCGAAATTGAGTACAAACAAGCACCCACTCTCCCTCTGGCGTTATCTGCGACGCCGGCAGCGCTGAGTCAGAAGAAAACTTTGATGAGTTCAACCGATGAATTCCTTTCCATTTAATTGCGAATTCAGGGGGGTGGTAGCAGGGCGCCAGGGTTCGGGGCATTTGGGGGCGTGGCTGAGGCCAAGCTGCACTTGGAGAGAGCATTACAAATATTAAGGCTGGCGGCTAACGGCTCCGACTACGGCTGCGTCCCTCGCCGGATGACATCATGACGTCAGGCTACATTTATACCCCGCGCGATAGCCAGTCAATTCAGCGCGGTAGCCGCCGCCGCCGCCGCCGCCTTTCAGCAAAAGCACATCACATCTCGCAACTTGTTGGCGTTTTTACTTGCCTTGCAGATACCGTGTTCTAGGGCAGTGTAGCCACGACCATGTCGATGTACATATATTATAGAAATTAAACTTTTTGTTAAAAAAAGTAACAACAGTGTGCTGGGATTCAAATTATATTTTATATCTTGCAGAGCGTTATAATTTTAGTCAAAAGCTTGTACATTGCAGGTAAAGCGAAAGAGAGCAATAAGGCTTACACATTTGTAAATGTTTACATTCATGAGCATTGTATCTTTTCTCATTCTTCCTTTCAATAAGGCTTCAATCGCAAATGTTAGCCCTCTCGTTTGTTGGCTATTGCTTGTACATTGCAGGCAAATTGGCGAAGTGAAAGACAGGGAAAACTGTTCTTGCGCACTTAAACCTAAGACAAATCAGTTAAATTTAAATTTTGATGCAACTTTTTTTGCTCGTCATACCGCCAATGAGCTTTCCAGGGTATCAACCCGTCGAACTGCAGTAACCCCTTGGCTTCTGTGCTACCGTTTTGTTTTGTTTTCGTTTGCCTCTGCCGCCGCCAACTGCTCAGTCGGCGTGCTAGCAAAAAGGCAAAGCAGCTTTTGCTTTTCAGTTTTCGGTTTCAGTTTCGTTTTCAACGTGCCCGCGAAAAGACGCAAAAAGCTAGCAGTCCGAGCTATCAGTTGGCCGTATCCTACGCCGATTTTCAAAAAAAAAAGTAAGAGCCAGCTCCACACACATCGAGTGCCACTATATAGATATAAATTCGCTGGGACTATATATATATATGTATGTACACGCATAGGTGATTTTTGTTCGTTTTTTTTTTGTTTGTATATTATTTGAAGGAGAGCGTGAGAACAGCATTTTGGGGAATTGCGAACCCCCTGACAGACGACGTGCCATAAAATGTTATTTTTCGTTTAAGTATTTCCACATTAAAATGCATTATTATTGGACGCGATGATATCATTGTGTTTCCAGCGACCAAAAAAATGCAGGGCCAGTTTCAGGGAGCGTTTCCTATAGGCCAAGTACATGGAGCTTTTCGCCTAGATTGGAGGTAGTGAGATGTGCCATGCTGATAGGCGTCGGCGGCGGCACTCTCCGGTCTCGTCTTTCATCTCTTCAAAGCGTAGAATTCGAAGGCTTCTCTCACCTTTACATAGGCCCAAAGACAACCTGTTGCCATGAATATTTTTGGCGTGATATCATGAGTTAGCCCAACCCCATTCCCCCCTCGTTCAACAGGCGGAAATCCGCCGCCTAATCAACATACAAGACTGATTTTGTTAAAAAAAAAAGAACAGAACAGAACCAAAAACAATATAATGTCGCACATGGTTCTTTTACCTAGTTGTTTTGTGTTTTGGTTTGACGTTCTGAAAATTCAGAAATTCTTTAGGAGGCACACCCCTTTGCCATCGTTTCGATACGAACTTCACTGAATTTTGATGAGCATCATCATCATCATCATTGACATTATCATTGTATTCTTCATGGTCGGGGCTGGGGTCTGTAACTTATTGCGTCACTCGATGGCGTCATCGACTTGAGTAATGCGCCGCCGATTAGCACCGAACAGAAGTCACTTGGAAGAAGGTCTTTAATCCTATTCAAGCCAAGATCTCCAGGATGTTAGGTATTTATTGAAATATATTTGGGGGAAATTAAATAAAAAAAAGGGTTCGAAAACTGAGGTTTATTGGTGGAAAGATTTAATATTTTAGATTTAAATTTTATCTTTGGTTTTCCATGAAGATTATTTTAATTTTTCTTTTATTTAACTTATAGTTTTAATAATATTAAACCAGGTTTATTTTAATAATTTGTTAAAAATGTTCTTTTATTGAACTTATAGTTTTTTTGTTTTATTTTTTTTTTTTATTATTATTTTTAGATTTTGTTTGTAGTTAAAAAGTCAATAAACCCGGCAGAATCTATGCATTCGATGTAGGTATTAGTATCTGTATCTGAAAGATGTATCTTTTAGTGAAAACCTAAGGATCTCCAAGAGCTACCAAGCTTGTACTATGAACTGGTTTTTCGTTTTTGATTGTTAGTTTACCTTATTGTTAATAGTATTATAATTTTAGTTAGAAGTTTGCAACGCAGTAAAGGAGTTCGACCGTGTATTCCTTATGAGTATAAACAGAAGAGTCGATTTAGACATTTTTGTAAATAACAAACAATTATTTAATGAATTATTTACTAATTCTAAAAAAAGTTTAACTTTTTAAATTGAACATTTTAAATTGTGGACAAAGGAAAACTTTCTGAATTGAAATGAATCCTTTTTGGCTTAGTTATCCATTACAATCGAATGATCTAGGGTATACATACTTCTCGAAGTTAGCTTTGTTATTTGTATATACAATATAGTAAGAAGTTATTAGCATGTTCATAATAGTAATGAATAAATATATCTATAGATCCTTCAGTGATCGATCTATTCTCGAATCTCGAACCTATTAATTGAAAAAGGGAAAAACTAGGTACACTGGAATTTACGGAGTGGATATAGTACATATATAGTATATGTCCCGCCCTCTGGTCACTATATATATATCCACATAGCCTCTTCGCTCCACAGATGTTCAAGTGTGTGCCCCAATTTTTTTGGGTTTGGCTTTTCTCAAGCTTTTCCAACGAACAACAGGCGGCAGCAGACCATAAAGTTCATGACGTTATATTTATCCGCCTCCATTCGAACGATTTATCTATTCTGTGCGGGGGAGCACGGGTGCGGGTGTGCTTTCGGTCAAGTAAATAGATTTTCCGATTTTCTGATTTTCCCGGCTCTTCCACTGCCCGCCATGGATGCTTCAATAACTTTTGGCGTTCGGCGTTCGGCTTTTTGGCGCTTTTTCGCCCGCGAGGCCGGCAATGAAAATTATTTTAAAATTAGACAAAAACGCAAAAATCCAAAACAAAAACAGCAGCAACAAAATAAGTGGCAAGAAATACACACACACCCAATGAGGCTTTGGGGCGGGGGTCGTTCGATCTGTAACAGCTGGCCAAGGAAAGCGTCAAAATTGGATTCATATACTCTAAGTTTAAAATGTAACTAAAGGCGCAGGGCTGTATTATTCAAAAAAAAAAAAATGAAAAAAAAGACCGTGATGAGTCACAAAACAAGTAAAAAAAACTAGTCAAGATACTTGAAACCAAAGAAATTTGAAAATTAGTTAATTAATTAAATGAATAATATTAAAAATGACACCTTTTCCTCTTAATTTATTGTAATGGAATGACTTCCTTTTTAGATCCCCCACCTTTTAATACTCCAAAGAGAACCACCGAATCCCAGCCAAGATGTCGCACTCAGTGACCATTACACGCACCACCACCAGCACCACCAACACCTCCTATATCGTTCTGAACACCGGCTACCTGAAGACCTTCCCCGGCATCCTCAAGCTGTTCGAGCTGGTGAGTTTATTATCTATCCGTTATCTACAATAGGGATAATCTATAAGCATTGTCCTTTGCAGATCATCGGTGCTGCCATCGTGGGTATTTTGGCGTACAACTATCAGGGATACCGCCATTACTACAGTTCCGGCCAGCAGGATCTGTTCCATTATCTGATGGCCACCACTTTTATGATAGGGACATTCTGTCTGCTCCTCGCCTGCCTCACGTCGCTGAGTACGGGTGGAATTATAGCAAAGACGATTTACGTGAGTACTGCCTAAAATATATCGTAAAAATTAATACATCGAATTATTAAATATCAAAAATGTTTCAATTTAACTTTAAAGTATCGATAATATCGAAAAACATTTGTAAATCCTTATTTATTTTCCTCTTTTTTCTGATAAAATTGGTCCAAAAAATCAAACAGAATATGGACTTAAAAGCATAAATATCCAAACGTTAAAAGATCGATTAAATATCGAGCTTGGCGTAGAATATCGATTTACTATATTTTAAAAAGTCTATGGATGGAAAATCGAATTTTTAAATATAGAAAAATATTGCACTCAAATATCGATATGATCAAATTTCCTAATTAAACTGGCTCGATATCCAATCCGATTTATCATTAATGTTAAAATATCGATTTAAAATCGACTTTCTTAATACTTGCAGGAGCTGATCTATCACAGCGTGGCCGCCATTCTCTACCTTGCTTCCTCCACCTTCCTGCTGATCCGGCTGCGTGATGTCAAGCACGATGCCTACATGGTGGCCGGTGTCTTGGGTCTGGTAAACTGCGTGCTCTACTTCATCAGTGCCTTCCTGGCCCACCGGTCCTACCGCGGCATCTAGGCCATCCATAGCCACCAACACCCACCGCCCACTCGGAATCTCCCAGCCCCTCAGCAAGTGGCGTTCAAGTGAACTCTGCAATCTCAAAGCATTTGTCCTTCCATCTAAAATCCATAGATGCATCCATCCAATCCGATTCGGAGCCATATCGCGGAGGAGTCTGGAGGCAGGAGCCAGAAACCATGATCGAGGGGACAGATGCACAGATAGTGGAAGCCAAGGGGAGGAATCTTTGTTGTACTGTGAAATGTTTTTTCGGCGGTAGTTACCCTTACTCTTACTTATACACTGATATATACAAGTTTTTTTTGTCTCACTTTCTTTTATACCGAACAGATTGTCATGTATTTCGAATAAAGATGTGTGTCTATATGTTTTTTACAAGTGTAAATGTCTTTTCTTTACCTTGAGTCAGTGTTGTCAACGTTGTTGCTCTTTAATTTTGGATCTGATCACTGTGACAAAGTCTAAACTAAGCCCAAAAGTATTCCATATTTTGGCTATAATTGCATACTACTAAATATTGGAATGGTGTTTAATTATAGCATGCTTTTATGGTGTAGATCGAAGATGCGCCAATCTGTGCGATGACCTCATTGAAAGAGTTTGCACCACAGGTAATCCTTTGTCTGCTGGCTGTTCTGGTGATTGAAATCGAGGATATTGGTTTATCTGTACAACAACGACAATATCATTTTTATGATAATTTTTTGTTTAATTTTAAATTAAAAACTAAACAAGGCATAACTCTGTCAAAAATGCCTTAATTTGCATTCGGAAAGCGGTGTTATGTTAGTTTTTATAAGGTTAACAAATCTGCATACTTAGTTAGAAATTGAAAATTTTATTAAATTTTGAGAATTTTAATGATGTAACCCCTTATCGAATTTCGAAAAAATCACAAAAAAATTTGTTCCCTCCGGAGTTGGCTTAAACGATTCGCCTGCTGATGCTGATCAAGAATATATATGATTTATAGGGTTGGAAATGATTCCTTCGATGAGTTTCAAGCTTCTGACTGAAATTTTAATACCCTGCATAACTTTGAAAATTCATAACTCGGTCAAAAATGCATTAATTTTACTTTTGAAAACGGTTTTATGTTAGTTTTTATAAGGTTAACAAATCTGCATACTTAGTTAGAAATTGAAAATTTGATCAAATTTTGAGAATTTTAATGATGTAACCCCTTATCGAATTTCGAAAAAATTGATCAAAAAATTTTTTTTGCCAGACATGGCCAGAAAGATGCGCCTGTTAATGCTGATCAAGAATATATATGGTTTATGGGGTCGGAAATGACTCCTTCAATGCGTAATGAGCTTCGGACTGGAAATAAAATACCCTGCAAGGGTATAAAAATTATAGCTTCGTTGTTTTTCAACGTATGTTTATCTACTCTCAGATGAAATGAAACTCTGTTTTGTGAGTGTTTTCAGCATTTAAATCTATAATATAAACATCGAAACCAATCTGCAAGGATATACAAACTTCGGCGTGCCGAAGTTAGCTTCCTTTCTTGTTACAACAACATTTGTATAACAACAAAGTTGGTATATTATTTTTCCAGCTATCTGTTCCGCTGTTACACGAAGTGGAGAAACTGAGCTAGCTTTTTATGACAGATTTTTGGGAAATTGGTATTGTTGAACCAATGTTGTTGTTGTTAAAATGTTGTTGAACAAATGTTATTGTTGTAAAAATGTTGTTTTTGTACAAATGTTGTTGTTGTAAAAAATATTGTTGTTGCAAAAATGTTGTATTTCTTGGTTTTATTATTTAATTAATGATTTAATCAATAAATTAACTGTTATGTATTCTTAACTTCTTCAAAATATACTACACCTGAAAAAAAGAAACCCAGTAATTTATAAATCCATCAAATAGTTAAAACACATTTGAATTTTTATGGGCTTTTATTATATATTTTAAATTAGTTATATATAAAATAATTACTATATCATATAATATAAAATAATATGCTTCTTAATATTCTCTCTAAACACAAAAAATTAATTGAAATTGCTAAGAAATAAAACACACTTTTCGACCTTCTGGCGCAGAGCTCTTTAATTATTATACTCGTATGCGAAAAGCGGGACATTTAACTACTAAAATACATAATATAGTAAACATAAAAACGTGGTTTAGGTGTTACAAAAAAAAAAAAATTATAATAATAATAATAGTAATTAAGAGAAGTACACACAAGTATTAAGTAAAAAAGAAAAGGGTAATATCGATTAATCAATACATTAAGCATCACTATTAAAGGATACGATTAATGAAAAAAAAAGACTGCATGTAATTATATGCATGCGCTGCTTTTCTGCTTTCTGCAAACTATTCAATGTACTTTGCATTCTGGAAATATATACAAAAACCGACTTAAAAACGAAGAAAACTGGGGGCTCGGGATTGGGATAAGGCTCCGGGGAAACGGAAATCAACGCAATTGGTGCATTATGGATCAATGCGCATATGTAGCTTCTTCTATGTTATGTTATTTAATGTATCCTAGGCATCAGTATGCAACGATTTGAACGATTTGAACACACACATTGAGACACAACACGGATTAACAAATTTAGCTTTGACTTTTTTATAACAACATTCTCTAAGTACCATTTCCAGGCGAAACAACAATTGTTTTATACGATCGATCGATTGGTTGATTGATTGATTGATTGACTGATACGATTAACAATAGCGAAATTCTCAACTCAACTCTCTCTCTCTCGAGACCTTTTTGTTTTTGGTACATATATGTATATGCTACGACGTATGTATGTATGCGTGTATATATTTTTATTAATCTTTAAATTTAATATTTTTAAATTATTAAATTGTATAATTTATGCTAAGGCCTGTCTTCTGAGCCAAGAAATTGACATTTATATATTATATATATTCGTTGAAACAATTGAACTCTACTCATGGATGATATGTGGGTATGTCCAGAGACCGTATAACAACAAGATGAGTAACGCCATACAAAAGTCCACGACTCTAGGTTCAAGTATTCTTGATTTTTGGATGTTTATGCATAAAAATTAACTTGCATATGGCAATTCAAGTGTCTGGGCGTTACGCATATTGCTGTTATAAGGTCTTTGGTATGTCTATCGATCCTCCGAATCCTAACGTGTACCCTCCTTGTACTTACTACTTTTATCCTTTCGCTAATCGTTCTCACTTGTTTCCCCTTGACTTTAGCTAACTTGTTTTTCGCGGGGGTTTTCTTCTAGTGTGTTGCGTGTACGTGTGTGTGTGTGTGTGTGTTGTGTATGTGGTGGTGGGTGGGGTTCCTGGTTGATAAGTTGCCATTTAAAACATTAACTAAACTAAGCTCAAATCAATATCAATGCATCCTCATCCTCGTTCCACTTCCACTTCCATTTCCATCCCCTTAGCCACCTCTCCATCGAGCTATAGCTGCAGCACCAGCACTTTCGTTTCTGTTTCCCATCACCCATTATTTCGCTGTCCAATTCGCCACTTGTCCACCTAGTGATCCTGCAGTCGCCACTCCTCCGCTGCCAGTGAGCGGTGGGCGTGGCCGAGACTGGTGGTTACATGCAGCAAAGGAAGCGATGAAAGAAACTCTTGGCATTGCGGCTGGCCCGGCTGGCCCTTAGCTAACAGATGATACCCTGATCCAGGCTCAGGTTGTTGGTGGCGGCCACAGCGGCGGCATTCTTGGCTGCAATTACCACATGATGGTGGTGATGGTGGTGGTGGTGGTGCATGTGATGATGGTGCAGCAGATGGGCAGCGGTCGCATTGGAAGATTTCCCTGAGCTGCAGCCGGAGTTGGAGCTGGTGCTGGAGCTGGAGGCGGTTGCGGTGGCTGTTGGGGCGGCAGTGTTACTGGCGGGCGCTGGGCTGCTGGCCAATCGCTGGCTGTGGATCAGCAGGGTGGCTGTGCTGCTGTTGGTTGGACTGCTGCTAGGACTCGGATTTGGGCTTGGCTGCTTCTTGAACACCGCCGTGGTTAGGGGCTCCGAGGCCCTGCGTAGACAGTTCATTCTGGTCGACGTCGGCGTCGTCGTGATTGGTGAGTTGCAGCCACTGCCACCGTTTCGTCGGTTGGAGGAGTCCTCCTCCAGCTGGAACTTCTTGACCAATGCCTTTACGGACGTCGCCGAACCGTTTGACTCGCTGGATGGCGTCTTGCGAATCACCTTGGGCGTGGTGGGGGCGTCGGGAAAGAGCGTTAACGTGGCAACCACCGTGGCCTCCTCGATGCCGTTGGAGCTGGAGTTAAGCTGGATGCTGGCCACCGGCGGCTTCTTCATGAACGTGGCCGTGTACGTGTTCTCCTTGTCCGAATCGGAGGCTCGACGCGTCGGTGTCACAATTTGTGTGGGCTTGTGAGCGTGACTGTGACTGTGGCTGTTGATGTTGCTGCTTAGCGTGTGGATGGCCGTGGTGGTGGTGGTCGTCTCGGACGTGGGACTGCTTAGGAGCTGCAGCTTGCTGGTGGCGATGGGGATCTTGGAAATGCTGCCGCTGCTGTTGGCTCGATGATGGCCATTGTGCGTCGGTTTGGTGCTGCTGCAGCCGTTGGTCAAGGGCTTTGGCTGGTTCGGATGCTGTTGCTGATGCTGCTGCTGTTGCTCCTTGTCTGGTTCCTGCACGGCTTGCTCCTCCTTCACGGGCTCGTTTTCGACTTTGTCTTCCACCTTGTTGTCGTCGTCGTGGTCGTCGTCGTCATCCTCCTCCTCCTCCTCTTCCTCCTCGGCATAGCTCTGTGGCTGCAGATAGATCTGTCTGTCCAATGAGCAGTCGTCTTTTAGCCAGGCGTGCTCCAGGCAGCCGGCTGCACTCATGCGATCGCTGCAAGAATTATAATTGACAAAAAAAATAATTGAAAATCATTCTCGATTTGAGTGACCTTTGGCACTTACTTTGGCTTAATTCGCAATGCGCGACGGATAAAGTCGATGGCCACCGGCGAGACGCCGCCGAAGAGGTTGTCCGGGAAGGTGAGAGCGCACTGCGAGATATTGAGGAAGGTCTCCTGCTTGGTGTCGCCACCAAAGGGCGAGAATCCGGAGAGCAGCACGTAGGTGAGGACGCCCACCGACCAAATGTCCGTCAGCAGGGAAAGCGGCTCGTACTGGAGCACCTCGGGGGCCACGTAATCGGGGGTGCCAGCCATTTCCCGCACGTTGATGCCCTCGCAGACCACCCGTGAGATCCCAAAGTCGCACAGTTTCAGGCCATCTGTGGAGGAGCAGCAGGCAGAATCGATGGATTATTACGATATCAATATTAGATTATAATAAAAAACGGATTTACCTTCTACACGCTCGCCGGCAAGCAGGATGTTCTGTGGCTTGAGGTCCAGGTGGGCGATGGAACGGTCGTGCAGGAACTTCAGAGCCTTGAGCACTTCGCGCATGCAGTGGCGGCCCTGCGCCTCCGTCAGGCACTCCTCATTGTCCAGAATCGTCTGCAGCTCGCCACCAGTGGCCCTGCAAGGGAATAGAAAGGGTAATCAAATCGTATAAAATCGCTTCCGAATAGCTTTTTAGCTTTTCACTTACAGCTCCAGCAGGAGTGCTGTGTCCGAGCGCGTCTCGTGGACGGCATTGAGGTTGACGATGTTGTCCTCGCCCGCACAGAGCATCAGCACCGCGATCTCATGCTTGATCTCCTTGTCGCTGCTCTGCGCCCGGCGCCTCCTCTTCAGGAACTTGGCCGCAAAGTGCGAGCCCGTGTTCTTGTGAATGGCGCGGCGAACGGCGGCGAACTTGCCTCTGTAAAAGAGAGATATGAAATTAGTTTATGGTCTTCTTTTTCGCATCTGCGGACGGTCGTGTTCGCCCACAGATTAGTTTTCATTCATAAGTTTGGTTTGGGGTTCGATATCAGGAGAGTTGAGTTGCGGCGGGAACTGGGAACACTGCGAGTTCTTAAAGCTAGCATTTTTATGAGTTTTGGATTAAAATTATCAGAGATAAGGTTATAAAACATTGTGATTTCAAATACTCTTTGTTTAAAAGAAATACAAAATAGGGAATTCAATTTCAATATCACAATATAAATATCGTGATATATCAAAGATCAACTTTTTAAATATCGAAAGATATCGTATTTAAGTATCGATGTTATCATAATTTATCAGAAAAATTTTTGTTTTTTTTTTCCCCCATTATACTGGATGTATACATTGACTATTGTTCGTGCCAATTATCGATACAATAGTTTTATATCCATATTTTTTCTATTTTTAATGTTAAAATTACAATATTACGATCAAACGATAATTTTGTGGCTCAAACTAGACTTTCTTCTTTCAGAAAAGTAATTTTATAGTCGTAGTTATTTTTTCATTTCATTTCTTACTCATAAAAATAATATCCTAACAAGTTAGTTTCCTAAAATATATCCTTAAACTATAACAAGGTATTTGCAAAATATTTGGTTTACATTAAAACGCAGTTTCATGCATCTGGAAATAGGAACTTTTCGACTGACATTCAATATTTCCGATTTATTCAAGTGCACAAAATGGAATAAAATGTGACTCAACTCGACGCCTTTTGACAAAGTACGTGCCATAATGAAGCAATTGCGCTTCCGGCAACAAACAAACAACTACAACTACTGCTAACACTTAAAGCAACAAATACACACACACACACACACACACACACCCATGATCAGAAGAAGCAGGCGCAGAAGAAAAAAGGAAGACAAGAAACACTGGTGACAAAGCTGGCATACCAAATAGTTGACCAGCTGCTTCTCCTCCAGAGCTTCTCCTCCTTCGTGTGCCTCGCCCCCTTCCTGCACCCGTTAACAAGGTGAAAGCAAGGAATGAGAGGAAAACCGTAAGGAGGGGAGATAAGGGAAGAAGAGAGGAAGAAAGAAAACACAATCACGCAAAGCCCTGATCAGTTCAAAAATGGGTAATGGCTTTAGCGAGTTAAGTCGTTCAGGACGAACTCTAGTTACCCTACGATTGTGGCGATATTGGAGGCAATATATCGATACGTTCGATAATTTCGATTATATCGATCAATTTATAATTTGAATAATTTCAATCACATCGATATTTCGATTTTAAGTAGCGATCCCGAGCTTGCAACAATAAATCACATGCGTTTTGAGGTGCGCTAAAGATCTTTCTTTTGAAAATAAGTGGAATATACTTTTATTAATCCTTATTTTGAAATTCACTTCTCTCCATATCTAGTCTTTTGGTTTCTTGCTAGAATTATCAATTGGCCTTCCTCCCTTGATCTTTGGGATGTCTTAGCTAATAAACCCGGATCCCGAAAGGGGTTCCCCATCAATAATGAGCAGTGCTGGGCTGTCGTCGCCTTCGCCACTGGACTGGTTTTCTAATTGTCCCCCGCGCACGTAGCTCCGGAGTCGGGACCCTCCGCCGTCCGCAGTTGTGTGTCTACGGAATTCTTCTCCTAGCTTCTTTCTCTCTGTCTCTTTTTCTGACATTGACAGCGGACAGACGACGACAACAAACATTGACTCGGACTCGGCTGCTCCTGTCTTTCTCTGTCGACTCCATCCATCGCCCCCTTTCTCCGCCTCCTCTGATGGAATTTGTCTGTCCTTACACAGCAAAAAAATTTCGCTTGTTTTTGAGAAGACATAATAGTACAAGACTTGATTGGTGATCTATAGTTGAATGTCCTGTGTAGACAGTTTCATAAGTTGACTGTTTTTTTTTATATTTGAAATAATTTTGAATTTACAACATTGAAGAATTTTTTCTCTGTGTAAGGCTGGCTGCCGTGTTTAGCATTTGGGCCAGTCGTCAACAACGAGCAAACACAAACAGTTCCAGCTACTACACTACAAACTCCAACAGAACACACAACAAATTGTCTAGTGTCTGGGCTCTTAGTAACAAGTAAGAAAGCTACAGTGGAGTATCACCAAAGTTTTCCGCATTGCGAAGAAATAAGGAATGTCTGTATATATGTCTATTCACCTTCTCCGTTAGTTATATTACCGGATACATCAATATAGCAATACTGTTCTGAATTCCGATATATAAATCGATATTTAAACTTTGCAAGTTTATTTGGTGCTATAAATCGAGACTCTGTTGGATAGTTAAAATGTTATTGCTTGGAAAAAATATGGGTACAAAAAACTAAAAATGCTTTAAATATATATTTTTCTGATATTTTTTAAAATTTTTTATTTGATATTATTGATATTAGAATTGATATTTTAGATATGGTCGAATCTTTTGTTTTGAAATACATCCCTTAGGGTAACTGGTTTAATACTAATCCGGCTTTAAATTCACAAACTTAGAACTGTTCGGATACATACACAGCATAGAAACATAAACATATACATAGATAGAAGGAAGTCTGGCCCACAACTCAAGTCCAATGGTTTTGGATTCCCGTTTTCGCTTGACTCAATTAGCGCCACGCGATTTGCATTCGCGATGAAAATAAACAAAAGGCAACAATGTTGCATGCAAATATGGTATCAATCGTGGCTAAGTATTTCGCTTCTAATTATAATTTACGAATGACGTTTGGATTGCCAGGAGGTTTGTCCCTAATAAATGGGTGATTGGACTTTTTTAATTAAACCCCAGAATAAGGAGAGTGAGATCTAGGACCTGGGTAACATTATTCCAAAGGTAATCTTTGTATTATAAGTAGTTAGATGTCGTCTTTATTTCCCAACTAAGGAGTACAGATCCCAGATTTTCGATCTTATTTGATCGATATAACTAATAGAACTATCAATACATAAATAATATACAGTATAATTATAGCAGATTTTTTGAGCACTATAGATTTAGGGGAAGACAAACCTTTATATATTAAATCAAGTTAAATTCGTGAGGTGTTCGCGGCTTGGTCTGAGAAGCTTTGTAGAGTCGGCATTACCATAAATTTAAATTTAATTACAATTTCTGCACTCCCCGTTCCCCAGTCAACAGCATTGCCTAATTGGGCAAGGTCTTTTCTGATCGTAATAAAGTTATTGCCCTCTCTCCTCCTCTCCTTTTTGGAATTTCATCAGCTCTTCTGTTTCTGTTTTTGTTTCGTTTTGATCTTTTTCCCTGTACTTTTTTTTTTTTTTTTTGCGCATTGACCGTCAGTTACATAAGACAGTTAAAATGCTTTCGGCACGACTTTTTGGACAGATGGAATTTTCCTTTTTGTTGTTTACATTTTAGAGATCAAGAAGACAGTTAAAGTTAAATGGTATGAAAGTGGAAAATTTGAAAAATCGAGAAGGTGAGGAATTCTTTGAAAGCCAAGAAAAATGCGTAGAAATAATTTATATATATGAAATTCTACGACAGAAATCCAACCTATAGTTCATATTTCCCGAAAACGTATAACTGTATATAAAAAGATTTCTATATGTGTGTGAGTGTGTCTGTTATTCGACCAAAAAACCAATTAACTCTCATAAGGGGTTACTTTAACAGACTTTTTTGCTGTATAAAAAACAACAAATATAGCAGAGTTCATGGCTGATCGCAGGCAGAGAGAATCGGAATTGAACTGGCCACTCCCACGCAGCTCTGCCCTTTTACTCTATGGAAATATAATACAGAAACAATAAAGTAAGTTTTTTTGTTAGCGGGAAGTCGATGAATGTATACCCTTCTATAAGCATTTGAAATCAAATTAAGTTAATTTTTATCAAATTAAATTAACACTTTTGGAGGTGTAAAAACATGTTATACAGACTCTAATTTGATTAAAAAAATTATATTTAAATCATTAAGATATTTGTATCTCGAAGGCTTGTTTATTTGCATAATACTTAAAAGTATTTAATACCCTCTTGAAGGGTATACAAATACCAAAAAAATAAACGCTTTATAGAGATCTCCAAATTCGAGTGTGAATTTTGTCCGATTATAAGTGGAATCGGAGAAGATTCTTAAATTGGTCAGCTTTGCTACGATTTGTTTGTATTATTTTTTTGTTATTATTTTTATTTTATTTTATTTTTTTTTGGTTTGATCGCATAAAATGATTGTCAATCGATCGGATCTACATACATACATGGCAAATACCTCACACCCCCCGCCCCGCTAAACCCCTTAAGTTGCTGTGACGCAAACGAGGCAATTTTTGATTCACCAAAGAGATGACAAACTTGAACGCAAAACTCTCGAGCAAAGAGCCAAATAAGGCGGCGTTTTAAGCCCGCTCAAAAAACGCGGCACGGCGACGCGGCGCGTGCACGTGTCAAAATCAGCCCCTAGACCAAAGGGGGGGTTAATTGCTAACAGGGGAATTGTTAATACTTAACGGATTTCCAAGACTGCGCAATATTTAAATTGCTCTTCTTTTCCCTCAATTGTTTATCGCCGTCACGTTGAGAGATTGGCCGAAACGTAAGCAAAATCGATATTGAGAGGAAAATCAACGGAAGTTTTCGAAATATGGGATTCTTTTCTTATTTAAGGAATTTAAGTTGGTGGTGGAAGGATCACAGAAGATAGGGTTTGGAGTGATTCGAAGATCAACGTACTATATATCTCCGATTTAGCTAAATTTCAGAATTTTTATTTGAATTTATAGAAGTTTCTTTCGTTGTTTTGAAGTTTTTAAAATCGTTATCAAGATTATCGAAGCGTTATGAAATTAATCTAATTAATATAAAATTTATCTAATAATTATCAAATTTATCGAATCATTACCAAGTTTATCGAACTGTTATCAAATTTATTCTATCATTTATTTTATCAAATTGTTATTAAATTTCTGGAATCGTCTTAGTTTATCGAATTACTTAA